TAGCGCCCTCGACAAGATGATCCGGAACCCTGCCAGCCTCAAAATCGTGGCCCGGGAGAACGGCGGGTGAGGACCCCAGAGGACGGACCCTCTTTCCCACATTCTGCCACCCCGAGAACCTTGCTCCCCCCCCCCNACCCTCTTTCCCACATTCTGCCACCCCGAGAACCTTGCTCCCCCCCCCCGCAGAAATATCCGTCCTTTCGGTGGGATGTGGGGTGGTCTCCTTCCGCCTCTCCAGGCCTGGGCTCTGCATCCCCACCCTGACACACGCTGGTGCTCAGGGTATCCTCCGCATCCTTGCCCACCAGGGCCTCGCACCCCCTCCTGGATCAGCGGCAGCCTCACTACTCAGCTTTTGGCTCCGTGGGGGAGTGGCTTCGAGCCATCAAGATGGGAAGATACGAAGAAAGCTTTGCAGCCGCTGGGTTTGGCTCCTTCGAGCTGGTCAGCCAGATCTCCACTGAGTAAGTCATGGTGGGAGCCGGGAGGCTGGGGGCTGGTGGTGAGGGCCAGGCAGCCAGGAGGGGTGGAATCTGGGTGACCAGAGTCAGGCCCAGTTTAAGCAGGGGACTTTGAGGTCAGCTTCTGGTGCCCATTCTAGAGCCCCTCCCCCCGAAAACAGTAACAGCTGCTGGGGCTGAGAGCTCGGGAATCTTCCAGGTCAGCTGTGCCCGCCTCACCCCCTTGCACCACCTCGGCCTTGGGCCATCTCGCTCCCGCCTTACAATCTGTGTCTATCTTTGTGCCTCTATCTACATTCCAGACCCTGCTCTCACATTAACAACGTGTCAACTCTGGATGTTTTCCCACCCATAAAAGGAGAAGGTTGGCCTGGGTTTTGGAAATCCTTTCCAGCTTTAATGTTAAATGGTTTTACAATTCCAGTGCCTTCCAAATACTGCTTTTCCCTCCTTGGCCTCTCCGTGGTCCTTCTTTCCACCTTTCCATTCCTCTCCCAAGGACTCCTCTCACCCCCGGGTTTGAATCACAGAAATAGAAGGACTAGAAATCCAGACACAGAGGGTCCAAGAGGCCCTTTCCTTGGGAAGCCAGTCTTGTCCCAGCAGGTCTGGGCCCCTCCTCCCTGACTGGCTGGAGCCTTCCCTTGACGGGTTCACTGACATGGGTTCTTGCCTTCCATTTCTCATCGCTTCTTTCTTATCTCAGCCTCCCCGCATAAGGACGGGGGCTGGGAGCAGTATGTTTCTGTCCTCTCTCTCTCCCATTCCTCTCTCCACCCACCCAGCTCCTCCTCTCTCTTTCTACTTTTCATTTCTTTGTCCGGGAGACTTTTCCTTCTGACTTCTTTGTCCTCTGAAGCAGTCTTTCGCCAACCTCATTTTATGGGCTTTTCTCTCCCTTTCGTTCCTCCTCTTCCCTGATTCTCCGCCTTTCCTTCTAGTTTCAGCATCGGGGGCACAGCCCTCCACCCCTTCTTTCTCTATCCCTGCGGGTACCTAGCCTCGCCCCCTACTGCGACTGCGCAGAACTGTGGTGGGCGCCTAAATCGGCCCCCACCCCCGGAAACTGCCCGACAACTATTGACGGCTACCCGCTTCCCCGCTGGCCATTCTGATTGGCTGGCACGCCTGAGGCGGAGACGGGTTTTTGAAGGAGAGATGACCTGGGAGCTTGGTGGTCTCACCTAGCTGTTCATTCTTCCCCAGGGACCTGCTCCGAATCGGAGTCACTCTGGCGGGACACCAGAAGAAAATCCTGGCCAGTGTCCAGCACATGAAATCCCAGGCCAAGCCTGGAGCCCCAGGCGGGTCGGGAGCACCGGCCCCCCAGTACTGAACTTCATCTGCACGCCTGGCTCCGTAGCTCTGGAGCGGCAGGGACTCCAGCGCCCGGGGATCCCTTCCCTTTCTTCCTGGGGCAGAGTCGGGTGGGGGGGGTACCCAAGAAGCTCCCATCCCCACGCCCCACTGACTGGATTGCACTTTGAACCCATGGGGACGGGAAGCTGGCTGTTTGGAGAGAGAGGATTTGAGGATTCTGCAGTGTGGAATCATTACACTCCCCCCTCTCCCCCGCGGGGGGTGGGGGGACCCCAAACCGAGGGTGCAGGAGCCCTTCCCTCAGGATTGGGTGTGACGGGAGGAAAAGGAGCCCCCGGAGTCTGCCAACATCCCAGGGCTAGTTGGGCAGGGTCTCCACAGCCCCCCTTCGATCCCCGGTTAGGGCCCCCAGGTGCCCCCCCCCACCTTGAAGGGCAGCAGGCCCTGCAGACCAAAGAGAAGGGGGGACGAGCCTGCGAGCTCGGGAGGCAGGAAGGGGCGTCATGGCCCAGTGGCGAAGTCATTGGACTTGGACGTCCCAACCTTGCTGCTGTCTCCGCGGAACTCAGTTTTCCCTTGTAAATGCCCCTCCCCCATCTGCTGCCTTCATATTGAAGGTTTTTGAATTTTAATTTTTTGTTTTTGGTCTTATTTTTCCTTCCTTTTTTTCGGTTTTTGTTTTTTGTTTTCCACAGTCCTTGTCATAACTTTTTGTGTTAGAGGGGACCTGTTTCATTATTGCCTCTTCGGCCCAAGTGGAAACAGGGACCTGTCGTTGTGTCTTGTTTCCAGAACAGTGCCTTGGTCACGCCACAACCCCCTGACATTTCCCTGCCCCCCAAGTACCCCCAAGCTGTGTCCATGAGGGCGTGTCGGGGGTTGGCGGGGGAAGTGGTGGAAAGCAGAGACAGACACCGGTGCTTGGAGGGGTTCTTAAATTATATTTAAAACGACTGTTTTGTATAAATAAAAGAAAATGGGAAGTGTCTTCACTCTGCGGGTGATGGAATAGACTTCTGTGGAGGGGGGCTCTGGTATGGAGGGGCTTTTGAGCCAGGCTGACAGAGGGGTCGGAGGTCTGGAGATAGGGCTGTGGTGGGGGCGGGGGCTGGGTGCTTGGATCCCAGCCCCAGGGTGTGTTTGAGGTGGTGGGGTGGGGGCACTGGAGATGAGTCATTGGCAGCTGCTTCTAACGGCTCCAGATGGCTCTGCCAAGAGCCTGGGGCACCTCCGGGGTGGGGCTGCCCTTCCCCCCCACCCTACCCGCCCTGGTTGAGGGGCTCTATGACCACAGGGGAGGCCTAGCCAGAGCTCGGGGCCCTGGTCCTACAGCCCCCCGACGTGGGGAGGGGGATCTGCTGGGGTGGAGGCCCCGTCAGATGAGGGAGACAGATGTGAGCCAGATGTTGACAGCTGGGGTTGGTTTAGAGGCGGTGGGGGGAGCGCCTGCATTTGGTTGTGGGGGAGGGGCAGAGGCTGGCGTGGAAGACACGGACCCCCCACGTGTATGTACACACACAGACACATACGCTGGGCTGGGTCTGGAGGACAATTCCCCCTTTCAAGATGCTGCCCAGGCAGGTTCTCCCAGCCTCTTGGGAAGGGAGGGGAAAGCACCTGAGTATCTTTCCCCCAGCATCTCCCTCCTGAACAGGAAGATGAGGCTGGGGTCAATTCCCTGATGTCTTTCTCACTACGTTCAGTTTCCCGGCCTGCCCGCCCCAGGGGACACCTGCAGGGGCAGGCCTGAACCCAGCCCGCTTTGTCAAGCTGGTGCAGCCTTGCCATTTTTGCATCTCAGTTGCCCCCTGTTGTCGTGCTGGGGTTGGTGTGTGTGAATTGTTCAGTTGTGTCCAACTCAGTAACCCCATGGACTGTAGCCCACTAGCCACCTCTGTCCATGGAATTTTCCAGGGAAGAATACTAGAGTGGTTGCCATGCCCTTCTCCAGGGCATCTTCCCAACTCAGGGATTGAACCTGGGTCTCCCACATTGCGGGCAGATTCTTTACCATCTGAGCCATGAGGGAAGCTTCGCCGGGGTTGGTATAGGATCCCAAACCCCAGCTTCTGCCCCTCCCAGCCCAGGAAGCCTCCAGGAGTGGTCCTGTCCTGTTTCCTGCCTCTACTACTTTTGGTGCAGCCTTGCCATTTTTGCATCTCAGTTGCCCCCTGTTGTCGTGCTGGGGTTGGTGTGTGTGAATTGTTCAGTTGTGTCCAACTCAGTAACTCCATGGACCGTAGCCCACTAGGCACCTCTGTCCATGGAATTTTCCAGGGAAGAATACTAGAGTGGTTGCCATGCCCTTCTCCAGGGCATCTCCCCAACTCAGGGATTGAACCTGGGTCTCCCACATTGCGGGCAGATTCTTTACCATCTGAGCCACGAGGGAAGCTTCACTGGGGTTGGTATAGGATCCCAAACCCCAGCTTCTGCCCCTCCCAGCCCAGGAAGCCTCCAGGAGTGGTCCTGTCCTGTTTCCTGCCTCTACTACTTTCTTTGGAAATCTAATATTCTCTGGAATCCTCTGTCGCCTTCCTTGATGACATGGCTCATGTTTGTACCTCTAACAGGATGGGCGGGACTCTATCCTGCCGAGGACTTAGGATGCTGGTGTAGGCCACCTCCCCCTGCCAACCAGACATCCAGGCTAGATAAGGAGACCTTAGGTGGGTCAGAGGTCAGGGGACACAGATGAAGAACAGAGAGGCAAAGGGTCAAAGAGCAGGAAAACGGAGGTCAGTGCGGGGGGACAAGGGGTGGTGCCAGGCATGCCGCTGGGAGTCCCGTGATGCTCAGGTATGTTTAAACATGACCAGCCCAGCTCCAGAGTGTGAGCTGCTCCCTCCAGCTAAGAGGCAGGGGGACCTGGCCAGGGGCACCCCTTCCTTCTTGGAGTCCTTTCCCCAACCAACTTGGGTCTCGCTTCCTTGGGTCAGCCACATGAAGGTGGCCACTGGGCTCATTTGAAGGACAAACAGAGTAAGGATTCCTTTCTAGAACCCAGGGTCCTGCCTGCTTCGGCGTCCCCTGTCTTTGGTGTCTCACATCTGAGCCCAGTGGGCAGCCTTCCTTTTCTTCTTAGAGCCTGGGCAGGACCTCCCAGCCCCCTCCCCCAGGACCTGCCCGGTGGGAGGCACGAGGCGAGGCGTGAGGCCCAGGGCGGGCGTTACTGCACTTTGGCCCTTGGCTGAGGTGAGCCGTCACTCCTAGTAGGATGGAGCTCCAAGCTCCTCCCAAGCCGGGCCTCAGCCCCCACCTTCAGTTACCATAGCAACCCCAAGGCCCTTTGGGTCACAGGCCAGTTCACCCTTTGGAAAAAGCCACATTTCCCATCCTGAGCCTCTGCCCAGAGCTTTAATCTCATCATTGGAAACATAAAACCTCAGGATCACCTTTCACTTACCCAGGTGGGAAGCTCAGAGGCCAAGTTCTACAAGAACCAGGATTCCTGGGGTGACCTCTTTTCTCCTGCATGCCCGAAGCCCCTCACGTGACTTTGTCTAAGGAACAGACAGCTGCTTACGTCCTCAGACCTCGGTTCCCCTCCTTGTGGACACTTTCTGGAGCATCCAGCCTTAGGTCCCCGGGCCCGCGTCTCCCTTCTGTTCTCCCCACCAAGGTCCACCTCACAGACCCTTCCTCCACCAGAATCACATGGGAAGTCACGTCTCAAAAATAAGTGATTTTATCTCTCCTTTTTCTGTGGACAACTCAGAACTAAGCAACTCTGAGGGCGTGCTCTGGACTAAAATCTGAGGGAAAAAAGAGAAGATGTGGATAAGAGGCAGCCTCAGGCCAGGCGCCAAAGTTGGCGGGCCGTGGGGCTGGGGCTCACCCGTACCTGGTGGCTTGTCTCTGGTCTGGCTCTGCATTTTCTCCCTAGAGGGCGTGGCGAACAGACACGAGTGATGAAGGTCAGCACCCACTCCCCACATTTGCTCCCCCACCAGCCGGCCCACCTCTGCCCGTTTCCAGAAACTCACCTCCTCCTTTTCTTCCTGGAAATGCACTCTCTGGTCACTGCCGCGGGCACTATGACCACCATGGGCACCAGCCATGGCAACAGGATGGAGGCAAAGTTGGATGCTTCTGGGGTGCGGGAAACAGAAATAGGGGTGTGGGATAAGAAGAGGTGGGGGGGACACTCCCTTCCGGCCCTCAGCTACCACCCTGGAGGGACTACATTCCCTGCACATCTCTGGGTCCTGGCTCCCCCTCCAGGAAGCCGCCACCCCCAGGGCTTTCAAGACCTTGATGCCGCCCTCCTGCTCTCGGGGGACACACAACTCCCACAGACCCTTCAGAAGGATGTTCACCCAGCTGGTCCCCCAGAGTCCAGGGTACCAGCTGGGTCAGTGCTTCTCCAAGAGTAGCCCTGGTATCACTTCCATCAGTCACCTGGGAGCTTGTAAAAAAATTCAGGCATCTTGGGGCCCCACCGAGACCTACCAAATCCATGTCTCTGGGGCTGAGTCCCAGAGACAACCTTGCCCCAGCCTGATCTTAGGAACAAGGATACAGTCAGAGAATTGCTGGTGCAGAGGCACATGGGAATTATAGTTTAGGATGGAGAAAACCGATAAAAGGTACCAGGAAGGCTCAGAGGGACACAAGAGATGGGAACAACAGCAGGGCGAGGCATACAGATCACAGAAGCGGGGAGCTCAGGGTCAGAGAGAAGATTCCAGAGTGCTGGGTAGGGCATAGGGACTCTGAGATTCTTTGAGGATACTGATCCTGCTAATCTTTAGGGATCATATCTAAATATTATATTATTACATCTTATATAGTAATATAAGACATTGACAATATATTATCTATTATACGTCTATGGGCTTCCTTGGTGGCTCAGATGGTAAAGAATCTGCCTGCAATGAGGGAGACCCCGGTTCAATCCCTAAGTCGGGAAGATCCCCCGGAGAAGGGAATGGCAACCCACTCCAGTATTCTTGCCTGGAGAATCCCATGGACAGAGGAGCCTGTTGAGCTCTAATCCATGGGGTCACAAAGAGTCAGACACGACTGAGCAACTAAGACATACACACACGCATACATCTATAATAGATACTGTAGGTTAATCTTATATACACCAACTTATTCTGCGGCCATTGTTGGTGGGGAAGGTGAGGAGCTTGTGAGGATACAGGTCTGGGGTGAAGTTCTTGCCTGGCTCTTTGGGGGGAGGTACATCCCGCGGCTCCGTGCAGCGGTCTCCCCCGTAACCAGGTTCGCACTCACAGGTGAAGTGGGTTCCCTGCTCCCGGCACCGCCCGTCATTTTGACAGGGATTCTGTAGGCACGGGCTGTCTGCAAGGATGGAAGCGGGTGGGAGGGGGTTCTGGGAGGACACTCAGCCAGGGAGAGGGGCCTGTGCTGGGACACTAGGGAAGAATTTCTCCCTGAGAGATTCGCTGGGGTCCGCTGGCCGGGTTTCCAGTCCTGGCTCTACACCCCTGAGATCTGGGGAAACTGCTTACCCTCTTCTGAACTCCATTTTCTTTACCTTATAATGTGGGAATGCTATGCTCACCCCAAGTGCTGAGTAAGGACTAAAGGAGGTCTTGAGACACTAGCGCGGAGCAGAGAGCCGAGGCTCAGGGAAGCCAGAGTCTCTGCCGTGTCCCTCCCGCGAGAGAGAGAGAGAGAGAGAGAGAGAGAGAGAGAGAGAGAGAGGAAGATGAAATGGCAGGAGCGTCCTGACTGTGATGAGGTGGAGTCGTCCCAGGGACAGGACTGGGAGAATTGGTTTGCTCCGGGTCCAGGGGCTTCCCCCTTCCCCCACCCCCGCAGGGGATCAGGGCAGCTGAACGCTGAGGGCCCATCCGGCTCACCTCGGAAGCAGCCACGAGTGAGGTTCCCCAAGGCGCAGACCTCCCCGGGGCGGCAGCCGAGGGGCTCACATAGCAGGAGCCCCGGGCGGGCGCAGGTGCAGCTCTGAGAGCAGTCGTCGCTGACAACGCGGTCACCCTGCTGGAGACAGAGAAGGCCAGGGGAAAGGGGGCATCTGCCTGGCCTCCAGGGCCGGGCTGTCCTTTCCCGCCTGCACTCCCCCTCCCCCGGGCCTCCCCCTTCCAGCCCGGACCTGGTAGTAGATGCCGTTGTCCGTGCAGCCGCAGCGGGCCAGGGGGAGGCTCTGGGCTCCGCTGTAGACGTAGCCCGGGAGGCTGGCACAGCCCTCCACACAGGGACCCGTGCAGCCCCGGGGGGCTGCCAGCGTGGCACAGGAGGCTGGGCAGGGGGTCATACAGCTCTGGTAGACCGTATTGGCTGGACATGACAAGGCTGCGGGGACACAGTCATAGTCAGAAGGTGGCTGAGCAGGGGCAGGCCCCCCAGGTATGGAAAAGAAGGTCACCCAACAGAGCACAGAGCTTGCTAAAGGCACAGAGGACCGGCTTCCTGAGTCTTTTCGTCTGTGACACTAGCTCATGAGGAGGATCAAAGGTGGGCCTTGGCAGAAAGGAGGGGGAAGGGGTGATGGGGATGAGGGCAGAGAAGGGGTTCCGTAGGGAGGATGTTGACAAGGGGGAGAGTAGGCCCGGGGGAACCAAGACAGAAAGCCAAGGTGGGGGCAGCCATGGAGGCCCAGAGAGGAACGAGGTGGGGGGGGAAAGAGCCGAGGGGGTCAGGGGCCAGCTGCTGGGGCAGGTCAGGGCCTCACCGCAGTGGGTGTGGTCCCGCCAGCTGGCAGGGGTGGCACCCGCCTCCTGGCAGATGATGGCGTACCCGCTGAGGACCTGGCAACGCAGCTCCTCCTGCTCCTTGGGGTCGCGGGCTGCACACAGGTCAGACACACAGTGCCTGGGGGATGGCAGGGACAGGTGGGGGGATGTGAGAGAGGGGGAGGAAGGCCAGGAGGCCCAGACCTGAGAAGAGGCCCTGGAAGCCCCATCGGAAAGTGGGCCGGCGTGCTGTGGGGATGTGTGTGCGTGTGGGCTGTGTGTGACCAGGTACTATGGACAGAATTGTGCCCAACAGACAGCCAGTCAGAGAGCAGGCCGCAGGAGCTGGATACAGGGTCTCGGGTCCCCGACTCACTCCAGGAAGGGCTCGGGGGCCACAGTCTGGTGACAGGCAGCAAAGGGGCCCTCGGGATCCACCAGCACCCCACACGCCTGGGTGCGGTTGATGAGCTGCAGCTCCTCCGGGTGGCATCCCGACACACCACGAAAGCCTAGCGCCGCTTCTTCTTTCACCTCCTCCTCATGTACGGCCCTGGGCAGAGACAGTGAAGACTCAGGTAAAGCCCACCACCGGGGAGGGGAGGGCCCGGACACAGGCTGGGATCCACAGGGCCGGTGCCCCGCAGTCGGCGGGAGAGGAAAGATGTAACGGGATGAGAAGAATCAGGCCCGTCTGAGCCCTCGGCCTCGGGGCTCCTCCTCTGCTGAGCAAGGGCGGGTGAGCTTGTGTGGACAGATTTTAGGTTGGCGCTCATGCCCACTCTGGCCGGCCACAGCCCCTACCGCCCGGGTCAGGGCCTCCCTGCTTTGAGCCCCAGCCCTCTCACCTTGAGACGCGGGGGAAGCTTCCCTCGGTCATTTTTACCTCCCAGCTGTTGGCAAAAGCAAGGAGGTTCTGGGTGACAGCCCCATTGGGCAGTATAAAGTCATTCCTCTTGTTCTGGTCGCAGTTGCCGCACAGGCCAAGCACGAGCTTCCGGTAAGTGACAGGCAGGGAGATCACTGCGGGAGGAGGGGGCCCAGGAATGAGACACCACCCCCCCACGCCACACCTCGTCCCTCCCCGCCCCTCCTGGGTCGTCTCCTGGAGCTTGAGGCCTTGCTCGCAGGCAGGGGTCCTTCTCATGGAGCCCAGCCTGTCTCCTACTCCTGTTCCTGCCTCCCACTTCCCAGGAACATTCCCTTTGGCCCTCTGGTTCCCACGCTCAGGCACCTGCGTTGTTCTTTCCGTTGAAGCTGACCACCAGTTCAAAGTCTGTGATCACGAACAGGCGATCACTTCGTAGGGAGACCCGCAGCTGGTCGACGGGCTCATAGGGGGCGGTCACCTTCTGACCATTGACCTGGAGGAGGCAGATGGGAGCCGCAGGGAAGCCTGAATCAAGGTGACTCTCAGGCTTCCCCGGTGGCCCTGTGGTAAAGAATCCACCTGCCAATGCAGGAGTGTGTGCGTGCTAAGTTGCTTCCGTCGTGTCTTACTCTGTGCAATCCTATGGACTGCAGCCCACCAGGCTCCTATGTCCATGGGATTCTCCAGGCCAAGAATACTGGAATGGGTTGCCATGCCCTTCTCCAGGGGATCTTCCTGACCCAGGGATAGAACCCATGTCTCTTATGTCTACCTGCACTGGCAAGCAAGTTCTTTACCACGAGCGTCGCATGGGTTCAATTCCTGGTCTGGGAAGATCTCACATACCACGGAGCGACCGAGCTTGTGAGCCACAGCTAGTGAGCCTGGGCTCTAGAGCCCAGGAGCCGCAGCTACCGCGTTCATGTGCGGCAGCTACTGAAGCCCGAGCTCCTGGAACCTGTGCTCTGCAACAAGAGAAGCCACTGCAGTGAGACGCCTGAGCACCGCGACGAGCAGTAGCCCCGCTCACCGCAACTAGAGAAAGCCCATGTGCAGCAACGAGGACCCAGTGCAGCCAAAACTAAATGAATAAATAAAATTATATTTTAAAAGGTGACTCTTTGCTGTTTTGGGCCCCGCTTCTCCACACATCTCGGGACCTTGCAGTTCCATCATTCCCGAGAACGGGATACCCCAGGAAGCTTTACTATCCCGAACGCCAAAAGCCTCTCTGAGGTCTGCTCCTGTTGCAGCCCCTTTCTTTGCCAAAAAAAAAAAAAAACAAGCAAAAAACAACTGTTAGGTGGGCACCCTTGGTGCTTCTTCAGACTGGCTGTTGGATCTTACCTTCTCCCCACTGCCCTGTCTTCCCCCACCTTACCTGAAATCCTCCTGCCCACCTTGGGCTCCCAAGAAGGTGAGTGCAACACTGATTCTGATTTCTACAACTAGGCAGCCTCTGCCGGGAACCTCCCAGGGAATGGGCAGCCCTGACTTCACCTGCTCCCGGTGGCCTCTCCTGGACCGACCTGCCTCCCCCCACCCTCCCTGCCTAGCCCGGGTCTTACGACAAGCTCCAGTTCGTGCTGGAGCTGGACCGTGTAGCCGTAGACCATCACGATGATTTCGTGCAGGAAAACAGGGTTGTGAGACGCATACATCTTGTTGCGTCCCTCCACGATGAAGGGCTCCACCCCATTGGGGAGCACGTCCACGGTCTTGACCAGATAGTAGGTCATGCGGCCCTGGAAACGGTAGCCGAGGCCATCAAATGTGCGGTAAGTGGGGTCCCCATAAACTGTGCATCGCTCCGACTCTGCCAAGAAGAGCCAGTGCTGATGAGGAATGGCCGGGCCCAATGGAACGACCCCAGGGCCCCTCACCCGCCTGCCCCAGTGCCTCCTGTTGCCTTCCGTCTTAGCCCCCGGCTCCCCGTGAACTTGATTTTTCCAACTTCTCCCTCTCCCAGCCTGAGAGGATCTCCCTTGCCTGCTTCGCTCTTTTGGCCCTGAAGGTAGATCCCAGAGAGAATCTGCAGGCGATCGGGGAGCTGGTGAGAGGTGAGAGCCCACCTCTGTCTATGTCAGCAGCCCCCTCTCCCCAGAGCCCCCAGTCTGGGCGCCCCCCGACTGCACCTCGAGGGCCCCCTTACTGTAGGGTTTGCAGATTTCTTTGCCGTCCTCGTCGGTCTTGCACTGGGAGCCCGTGGGGCAGGCAAAGGGCCGGCACTGAATGGCCCCCGCCCTGCAGGTACACCTCTGGGAGCAGCTGCTGGAGAACCAGGCATTACCCTCCTGCAGACGCCGCGGGAAGAACGAGGAGTGAGAGGGAAAGGCCAGCTCTCTTTCCTCGACGACTTCAGTCTAAACCCATGGTCTGATGGCTCACTTGGCACAGGCCAGAGGCAGTCCCAGTGCCATCCCACCCTTTGTCCCTAGAGGCACTGTACTAGGGACTCAGGAGGTACTGTTGAACCCATCTTCCAGATGAGGAAACTGAGGTCACTCAGGAAACTGTGACTCATGAGGGGTACCACCAAGATCTTCAAACCAAGGCCACTCTACCATGCCTCAGTCCTCACATCCAAACCACACACAGCTTCCACCCCAGTCCTGGCAGGAGGCCACCCAGCCCGACCACCAGCCTTCACACCCAGGGCCAGCCGCAGCGGCACAGGCCAGGGGAAGGTGGCATCCTGAAGGTGTGTGGGTGGCCCCCCCTGCACCCCTACTTCCCATTCCCCACTCACGGGGAGGTCTCTGCCCCGGGCGTCCCGGCAGCCACACTGACTCCTGGGCACACACCGCCGCTGCTTTTGCACGTAGCCGGGCTCACAGACGCAGCCCTCCTGGCAGATGGAGGGACCGCTGGAGCCCTTGCACTGGCCTTCCGGGTTATCACAGGTCGGGGGGCAGTGGGGAAAGCAGTTGGTGTAGACGTAGTGGGCGGGGCAGTCCAGAGCTGGAAGGGTGGGGGAGAAACGCTGACTGAGCGTGGGCTCCGTGGTGGCCCCGAGGACAGAATAGAGCAAGAATGGTCCTCCCATCTTGGCGTGAGAGCCTGTGGTCAGGCCGCAGGTGCAGCGCGACCCTGGTGCATCTGGGCAGTAAGCATGTGACTGGCCTGTGTACCGGCAGTGATGGGAGCCCAGGGCAGGAAGGGGCTCACTCTGCTGGGGGGAGCTAAATAAAGCCTTTGGAGCAGAAGTAATTGCAAACAAATGGAAACGTTCACAGACAGCAAGAGTCCACAACATGAAGATGTCAGTTCTTCCTAAATTAATTTTATTACCGTTATTAGGCCACGTCAAGCCACATTCGGGGTCTTAGCTCCCCAACTGGGGATCGAACCTGGGCACCCTGTAGTCCTAACCACTGGACTGCCAAGGAATTCCCTCCCTAAGATAATCTGCACATTTAATATGATAGCAATAAAATATACCAACAGGATTTTTTTTAATAGGGAAAGATGATATTAAAGTGGAGATGAGGATATAAACAAACCAAAAAATCTGGGAAAACTCTAAACCAAAGCAAACAAAAAAAAACCTAAATGTCCCTGCCAGAAATCCAAACACTACTTAAACTCTCAATGATCACAACATTGTGTTGCTAGTAAATGAAGCTAAATGGAGCAGTGGAAGAGGAGAAAAAGCCCAAAGAGGAACTCAAATACACATGGGAATTTAATATAAAGCGTGACATCTGAGTCAGTGGAAAAAGAGACTGGTCATTTAATAACACTGGGAAAAAATAAACATGAAGTTGATTGAGTTCTCACCCTACACACCAGGATACATCCCCATGGATCAGAATATTTAAATATACAAAAAAAGAAACCATTCAAATGCTAGGGCAAAATGTAGGCAAATTTTTTTAACTTCAGAGTAGGGAAGGTGTTTGTAACTGGGGCTCAAAATGCAGAAGCTGTAAAACAAAGACTGTTATATTTGACCTCGTAAATACATATATATATATATATATATATATATATATATTATGCATGGTAAAAAAGAAAAAAAAGTCAGAGATTAAAAAAAAAAGACATGGAAAAAACTGTGTGACTCATAGCGCTAATGAAGGGCTGGCTGCTCTCTGTAGCAGACAAAGGGCATCTATAAAATATTTCAATAAAGGGCAACAGACCAGTGGAAAAACGGTGAATAGGTAGGAAGAAATCACAGGAAGGGAAATCCAAACGGCTCCTGAATGTATGAAAGAATGCACAACCTCACTCATAATAGGAAAAATACAAATTAAGACTCTTTTTATCTTTCACTTATCAGATTGGCAAAAATCCAAAAGCATGATAATACTCTGTGTTGGCGAGGCTGTGGGGAAATGGGCAGTCTCACGTGTTGCTGGTGGGAATGTAAATGCCTCAACCTCTATGGAAGGCCATTTGGCAAGATCTCTCAAAAGCATAAATCCACACAATCCTCGATCCAACAATTCCACTGCTAGGAATTTATCCTACAGATAAGAGACACACACACAGAAAATTGCATCTGCGTAAGGTTATGCATTGCAGCACTGTTTGCAATAGCCAAAGACTGGAAACAACTAGGGAAGTTCATCAACAGAAGACTAGTTAAACAAACTATGACAAAGGAATTATGACGTGTCTGCAAAAGAGAGTAAGGATGCCTTTTACATATCTGACCAGGAAGGGCAGCCAAGTGAAAAATAATGAAGTACAAACGACTGTGTCCTGTCTGTTGTTTGTAAGAAAATATGAAAAATAAATTTGCATTTGTTTGTATGTGCAGAAAGAAAAGACTTTTGGAAAAATACTCAGATGCGGATAAGAGCAGGCTGGAGCCTGGGCCCCTGGAGTCAGGGTGAAAAGAGACTTTTCACTGGGAATCTTTTAATACTTTAAAAATTTTTGAACCATAGGAATGCAGCACATATGAAAAACACTTTACTGTTTTAAAATTTTAAAAGTTCTGAAATTAAATAGTGGTGCTGGTTGTATAACCTTGTGAAGATAATGAAAATCCGTGAATTATATACTTTTTTTTTCTTTTGCGCATCATGTGGCATGTGGGCTCTTAGTTCCCTGAGCAGTTATCAAACCCACACTCCCTCCAGTGGAATCTTAACCCCTGAACCACTAGGGAAATCCCTGAATTATATACTTTTAAAGGGTAGAAGAATATAGTACGTGAATAATAATTTTTAAAAATTTTTTAAAGGAAAGAGAGAGAATGCCTTGGAATCTGCCAGGAGCGAAGAAGAAAGAACTTTTGGGGTGCAGGGAAGGGTGTGTATAAAGGCAGGGAGGGGTGTGGGAAAGCGAGGCCCACGTGGGGAACAGGATGGTTTGTTGCAGGTGATGCCAGGGCACAAGTAACAGGGGGAGTTGGGGGTGGACAGCTCACAGGATCTCAAACATCGCAGAGAGGAGCTCAGACTTGCAGGCACAAGGGCTCACGGGTGTAACATGATCACAGTTCCTTTGGAACGACAGTGCTGAGAAGCAGCCTGTGCCATCCTGCGATAAGGGGCACCGGCTACGAGCTTACGGTAAATGGTCCACATCACAGAAAATGAGGCCAGAAATAGGTCAAGAAACACCAAAAAGAAGAATGGAGGAGCTTTCAGAGCTCCACAGATGGGGGCCTTCCCGTGGTCCAGTGGCTAAGACTCCACTCCACCAAAGCAGGGCAGCTGGGGCTTGATCCCTGATTAGGGAACTAGATCCCACATGTGCGGGCGCTTGGTCATTCAGTTGTGTCCGACTCTGTGGGACCCCATGGGCTGTAGCCCACCAGGCTCCTTTGTCCATGGGGATTCTCCAGGCAAGAATACTGGAGTGGGTTGCCATGCCCTCCTCCAGGGGATCTTCCCAACCCAGGAATCGAACCCAGGTCTCTTGCACTGCAGGCAGATTCTTTACTGTCTCAGTCATAAAATTTTTAATGCATTTAGAAAAAAGAATTCCTAAGAGAGAATTCCCTGGCGGTTCAGTGGCTGAGACTTCTCGCTTTCACTGCTGAGGGCACAGGTTCAACCCCTGGCTGGGGAACTAAGATCCTACAAATGACACAGGACAAAAAAAATTTTTAAAGAGTGCTCCTGGAAGTGTCAGATGAAAAGATTAACAAAAAAGGGGTCCATCCATACAATGGAATATGATTCAGCCTTACAAAGAAGGAAATTCTGGCATCTGCTGCAACATGGGTGAAACTTGGGGACATGATACTAGGAAAAGCTAGTCACAAAAAGATGAATACTGTGTGATTCCACTTAGATGAGGTCTCTAGAGTCCTCGAATTCATAGAGATAGAGAGTGGATGGTGCTTGCCAGAGGCTGGGGGGAGAGGAATGGGGACCTGTGTTTAATGGGGACAGAGTTTCAGTTTGGGAAGAAGAAAAAGTTCTGGAAACAATGGTGATAATGGTTGCATGACAAGTGAATGCACTTAATGTTGCTGAACCGGACACTTAAAATTTTGTTACAGTGGTAATTTTTGTGTTCCGCATATTTTACTACAATTAAGAAAACAAAACCAGTTCCTGGGAATGAGGAAGAATGGTCATCACAGCAGTGACCTGGGGAAGATGGGAAGGAGACAGTAACCAAATGAGTTCAGAACTTTTCGGTGGTGCTAAGTCGCTTCAGGTCTGACTCTTTGTGACACTGTGGACTATAGCCCACCAGGCTGCTCTGTCCATGGGGATTCTCCAGGCAAGAATACTGGAGTGGGTTGCCATGCCCTCCTCCAGGGGATCTTCCCAACCCAGGAATCGAACCCAGGTCTCTTGCACTGCAGGCAGATTCTTTACTGTCTCAGTCACCAGGGAAGCCCAGACCCCCCAGACTGCAGCTAAAGATCCAGCAGGCCGAAACTAAGACCTGGTACAATCAAATAAATAACAATAAAAATATTTTTTTTTTAAGAAGTACCAAACTCATATTTTTTAAAAAGAGAGAGGCACACAGATGAAAAGAAGGTTTGGGAGCAGTCTGGGGGTGGCCGGAGGGGACACTCACGGCAGAAGCTGCTGTTTCTCCAGATGGGAGGCCTGATGCCCCGGGCTTGGCAGGCGGCCGCGAAGGCTTGCAGAGACTGGCAGAGGGCGCTGCTCAGGCCTCCAAACTCACAGAGGCTGTCGGTGCATTTGACCAAGAAGGGACTGAGGATCACGCGGCTGGCACACCTTGCCCAGCCCGGGGTCTGAAAGACTGCCCGGCATTGCTCCTGGGCTCTCTCCAGGTCAGCTGGCTGGCAGGCTGTTTCTGGCTCCTCCTCCGATTCTTCTTTGATCTTGTCATCATCTCGGCAACTGGGAAGGGCAAGGGGGTCATCACAGGGACAGCCACGGCCTCATCTATGAAGACGACTTGGCGCTCCCAAACCACCCTCTAGACCCCTCCTGTCTTCACTGGGAAGCTGGCCTGGACTCTGGCCAGCCTTCCACGTGGCCCCAGTCTCCTCCCACGTTTTGAAGCCAAGACAGGAAGACCCAGATGCCAGCCCCTGTCAAGCGATATGCATAGAGGACCACTCCAGTCTTTCCACCCCAGGTGGGCCATCCAGTCTAGAATCCCAACTCGCGTTCCTATGCAAACCAAGGCAGAGAGTCTTTGAGCATAATTACTTTGGGTCGATCTCCTTATCTTGCCAACTGTCCACATACGTGACATCATCCGGGGCTAGCTCGTCATTAGGCATCAGTAGCTCATCCTCTTCCTCACCGTTGAAGTTCCCACACATGCCACAGGTCTGGGTAGGCAGAGGGGAAAGAAGGATCTTATGCACCAGGGATGGCAGGGGGCATTTGTGGTTGGCACCCCCTTTCCACTCCACAGAGAAAGGCACCCCCTCCCTGCAGCTTTTTCCCATTCTGGGGAGTGAGTCTCCAGTCGGGCACCCTGTTCCCTGCAGGCTGACGCCCCTACGAAGTGCCCCAGGTGTTTTTCTCACCTTTCCATAATAGGCTTTGGGGATTTCGATCTCTAGGAAACCATTGCCATCAAACTTGACTTCCACCCCAATGCTGATGGTGAGCACCATGTAGCCATCCCTGGAAATGACTTTGACCCCCCGAATCTGGGAGGTCGCGGGCAGGGGGACCCATGTGCCATTGATCTAGAGAGGAAGGCAGGACCCGTGAGCAGCAGGAAGGACCAGAGCCCCGTCCCCAGAGCCCACGTCCTCCCCCCACCACCGCCCCGCTCACCAGTGCGTGGTCCTTCTTCAGGGTGACCAGGGAATTAAAGACGTGCACATAGACCGTGCGGAGGTAGAAAGTGTGGGGTTGGTCTTGCTGCTTCCCATTCTTGCCACTGATCTTGAAGAAAGGCAGGTCCATGGTGGAGTGGCATGTTTTCGCCAAGACGTAAGTGCAGGTGCCCTGGACAGCATGGTAACTGCCATCGAAGCTTATGTACTGGGACCTGTCCTGGATTCGGCACACTCCCATCCCTGGAGGACAGAAAGGTGGCTGAGGAGTGGTCCAGCCTCTAGCAGGAACAGGCCTTCTCCCCACCTTCAAGGAAAGGAAATGGAGGAGAGGGAGCCTCAGAAGGGAAGGGGACAAAGAAAAGAGTCAAGACCCAAGGACGTGGAGCAGGTGCCACTCGGCCCGGGAGAGACATAACATCTCAAGCTCACGACTGCCATGGGAGCCATGAGTGAACCCTGAGGAGCCCTCCTGGACGGAGGGGCAGTCTTGGTGGCTGAAGTTCCTCCTCCACGCTTGGTGGGCCTCCTACCTGCCCCCCGGCACCGCATCAGCCCATCGCGGGGCCAGCACATCTGGCCAGGCTTGCAGGCGGTTTGGAGGCAGGAGACGTTGTTGTGGATGGAGCAGGTGCAGAGCCGGGAACACGTGTTGTCCGTGTACCATCTCTCCCCGACCTGTGGGGCACAGGTATCAGTGGAGCCGATAGAAGCTTGGAAGCTGGAGAGGGACGGAGGCCTCCCCTCGACACACTGCACCCAGGGCCCCCAAGAGGTCAGCTTTGTTCAGCCACCCGCCTCTGTCGCCAGCCTTTCTCAAGCTCCAGGCTTCTGAATGTTGCTCCTCAGCCCCCAGCACTGCCCCTCCCCACTTCTTTGCACGGCCTGAGCCCTCTGGCCCCCAACTCATGGAGGCCCCCTTGCAGCCTGGCTTCTCACCGGGTGGTAGGCGCCCCCGGGGCTGGTGCAGCCACACTCGCCGAGGGGCACACAGGTGGTCCCGCTCAGGATGTGGCCTCTCTGACACTCGCAGCCCTCAGCGCAGGGCAGCGAGGAAGGGCAGTACGATGGGGTGCTCAGGCTGAGACAGGTGGCCGGGCAGGGGTCAGCGCAGGGGCTGTATCTACTGCCTGACGGGCACTTCAGAGCTAAGAAGAGATTAGCGTGTGGAAAGGAAGAGTCATTTCCAGCTTTCTTGACCGTGGGGACTGAAGAGCTCCTAAGGGCTTCCTTGGTGGTCCAGTGGTCAAGAAGCCGCCTGCCCCTGCAGGAGACACGGGTTCGATCCCTGATCCGGGAAGACCCCAAGTGCCGCGGAACAATTAAGCCCATGCGCCACAACTACGGAGCCTATGTTCCAGAGTCTGGGGGCCACGACTACTGAGCCCATCCACCACAACTGCTGAAGTCCACATGCCCTAGAGTCGGTACTTTGCAACGAGAGAAGCCACCGAAAAGAGAAGCCTGAGCACTGAAACTAGAGAAGAACCTGTGCAGCCATGAAGACCCAGCGCAGCCAAATTAAATAAATTAATTTTTAAAATTTTTAATGCATTTAGAAAAAAGAATTCCTAAGAGAGAATTCCCTGGCGGTTCAGTGGCTGAGACTTCTCGCTTTCACTGCTGAGGGCACAGGTTCAACCCCTGGCTGGGGAACTAAGATCCTACAAATGACACAGGACAAAAAAAATTTTTAAAGAGTGCTCCTGGAAGTGTCAGATGAAAAGATTAACAAAAAAGGGGTCCATCCATACAATGGAATATGATTCAGCCTTACAAAGAAGGAAATTCTGGCATCTGCTGCAACATGGGTGAAACTTGGGGACATGATACTAGGAAAAGCTAGTCACAAAAAGATGAATACTGTGTGATTCCACTTAGATGAGGTCTCTAGAGTCCTCGAATTCATAGAGATAGAGAGTGGATGGTGCTTGCCAGAGGCTGGGGGGAGAGGAATGGGGACCTGTGTTTAATGGGGACAGAGTTTCAGTTTGGGAAGAAGAAAAAGTTCTGGAAACAATGGTGATAATGGTTGCATGACAAGTGAATGCACTTAATGTTGCTGAACCGGACACTTAAAATTTTGTTACAGTGGTAATTTTTGTGTTCCGCATATTTTACTACAATTAAGAAAACAAAACCAGTTCCTGGGAATGAGGAAGAATGGTCATCACAGCAGTGACCTGGGGAAGATGGGAAGGAGACAGTAACCAAATGAGTTCAGAACTTTTCGGTGGTGCTAAGTCGCTTCAGGTCTGACTCTTTGTGACACTGTGGACTATAGCCCACCAGGCTGCTCTGTCCATGGGGATTCTCCAGGCAAGAATACTGAGGTGGGTTGCCATGCCCTCCTCCAGGGGGTCTTCTGACCCAGGTCTCTTAGGTCCCTATCTGCATCTCTTACATCTCCTGCATTAGCAGGCAGGTTCTTTAACACTAGTGCCATTGGTGAGATGGAAATCGGATGGGGGCTCCCAGGGGAGGATGGGGGCTGGGCTCCGAGAGACTGGAGAGTAGGGGGCAGAGGGCACCCCCATGCGGGCTGGGGGCCGGGCTGCGAAGGGGAGAGTAGAGGAGCAGGATTGAGGGAGAGGAAGAGAGGGCGGGGCTCGGGGGACGCCTCTGGGTCACTCACGGCAGAAGGTGCTGTTCCGCCAGGTGAGGACCTGGCCGGCGCGGGCGCACAGAGACGCATAGGCCTGCAGGGAGCGGCACAGGGTGAAGGCGTCACCCGTGGTCCCACACTGGCCGTACACACAACTGGCAAAGCTGGCCTGCGGGGCCACCACCCTGTGGCACTTGGAGAAGGGTCCTGGTGGATGAAACAAGGCAGGTGAGAGTGAGCCACAGAGGAAGCGGAACCATGAGGCTGCTCTGGGGCAGAGTCTACATCCACTTCCATCCAAACCCGTGATTATTAAGAACCTACTGCCTGAGATGCAAAAAAACCCCACAGACCCATCAGCGCCCCCAGGTGACCACTGCCTCCGCATCCCCTTTGCTGTCTCTATTTCCTGTCTCACCTTTCCTCCCTCCCTCAGTGATCAGCTCCCCTCCTCTGTCTCCTGTCCTGGGGGTAGGGGGGGAGCAAATAGGGGCCCTTGCGTGGCTTACCCTGAGGATTCACTAAGATATCACAGTTCTTACTCCAGGGGTCAGTTGCATTCTTTTCCAGGCACCTGGGGGGCCTGGCATCTGCAGCAAAGCAGCTAACAGAGGAGGAGGGGAAGGGACAGGGACTTAGGATCAGAGGACGCTTCCCAAAAGCCATGTCTTCCCAGAAGACATGGAGAGGGAAGCAGGGAGGGGAACCAGCATGGGAGAGAACAGAGTGAGGGCCTTGAGTGGTAAGGTCAGCAGATGCAGCAGGAAGGGATAAGGTTAGATCTCAGGGTGGACTTCCCCAGAGACAGGTCAGGAAGCCCGGGAGAAATCAGCAGGGAGGAGTATGAGGGGTCAGAACAACCTTCCATCAATTCCAGGAGAGATTGGGGACACCACCAGGCTGCCTGCCAAGGCTTCCCCACCTGCCCTGACCCAGCTCCCTGCCCCGGTCCAGCTCCCCGCTCTCCCCATTCCCGGCTCACCCAGATTCAGATAACTCATTTAGCTTCCAGGAGGCCCCCAGGCGCGCGGAGTTGACAGCAGGTCTCTTATCAGGCTGCAGATTATCGTCCAGGCTGTTGTTGTTGTAGTTCCCTGGGGGACCGAGCCGTCAGAGAGGCCGCAGGCTCGGTCCCAGGACGGAGAAGCCACCCTCTCTCCAAGAGAAGCCTTTTGTCTTCCTTCATCTTCGGCTTCCCTTCACGCCCACCCTCACTCACAACGCCCTCAACCGAGTAACAGATCGCCAAGCACCTGTTCCCGTGTGGATGAGCAAGACCCCTGAGAGGCTTGGGTTGCCCGTGGCCCCGGCTCCACCTGCATGTGCCCAGGGAACTCACCACACATCCCACAGAGCCGGCCGGCATAGGAGGAGGGAGCGGTCACTTCCACCAGGTGGTATCCGTCGTAGCGAACTTGAAGCCCGAAGTCCGTGTAGAGGAGGATAAAGGAGCCACTGGACCTCACGGTCATCCGGCCGCGTGCAAACCACAGGGGCAGAGCCACCTGGCGACCGTCCAGCTGCAGAGGTAGGGAGGACGAGGTTGGGAAAGGCTCCGGGGACAGGATAACAACGGGGCAGAGACCAGGGAGCAGGCGGGGGTCGGGAGCGGGGGGAGGCGGGGATGGTGGGTGTGTCTCAGAAACTGGGGTTTCGGTGTCTGCCGGACAGCTGTAACTACAGGCAATGGGGAAGGGAAGAGAGATGCCATGTGGGCTGGGGGTGGGGACAGGGAGGCAGGCACAGGCACACACCATGACCTTGCGGCCTTTGAGCATCCAGACTCTGATGCCGAAGGCCTGCACTTGGACGGCTTTGACGTAGGAGGCCTCCAAGTTTCCACCGCGGAACTCGTTGGTGGCGCTCACAAAGAAATAATTCTCCAGGGACTTCAACAAGCAAGGCCGGGTGAGGATGTAGGTGCAGGTGCCCATGAAGTGGTGCAGGGCTCCATCGAATGTCAGGTAGTGGGGGTCCCCCCAGACAGTGCAGGTGGCCGAGCCTGGGCACGAGGAGACGGCGTTCAGAGATGCACTCACCTTGATCTGCCATCTGGGCGAGTCCACGTGGTGATGGTACCCACGGCTCATCGGGGTGGTCAGTGAGGCGCGGAGAGGTCAAGGTCAGGGACTGCTGCAGCCTCCCTGTCTGGGTTCTTAAAGGCGTTGCTTTGGCTCCGGGCAATCACCTCCCAGCCCCTGGTTACACCCCAGCTCTCTGCTTTAGGACAGGACCATGCCTCCGCTCAAGGTCGCTTGGGCAGCCCCCAGGCTCACCTTGAGGGTGGCAGCCATAGGTGCCATCCTGCCGACCACACATCTCCTGGGCCTGGCACTGCCAGGGCACACAGCGAGTTCTGTTGGTGCCCTCACAGATGCAGAGCCGTCTGCAGCCTGGCTTGAACCACCGCTCCCCTATCTGGAAGGAAAAGAAGTTGTCCCCTCGTCGGGACTTCCCTGATGGTCCAGTCTTTAAGAATCTGCCTTGCAATGCAGGAGAGAGACGCAGGTTCGATTCCAGTTCAGGGAACAGAGATCCCACATGTGGCAAAGCAACGGAGCCTGTGTGTAGCAACCACAAAGCCTACAGACACTGGAGTACGGGCACCACTAGAGAGTCAGCGTGCCACCATGAATAGACATGATTTTTAAAAGAGGAAATCATCTTAGCACTGCTATTCAGATCACTGCCTGCTCATCGGGAAGCATTCGTGTCATCCCAAAACTCCAGGCTTAGTTGCAAAACTCTGGCACTAGCTCATTCATTCAGTCACTCCATTATTTGTCTGTCCACTGTTTCAACATATAGTTATCATCTGCCTTGTGCCAGGCATCAGGAATTCAGTAATGAACCAGATGGACGATGCCCCTGACCCAACAGAACTCACAGTCCAGAGGGAACAGTCAACATGTAAACAAACAGATCCCATGCCCCAGCCTGTTATGTACCCAGAGGTGACCATCAGGGTACCCAGGGTGTTTCCTGCCACTGGCATGTGCTGCAAGAGTTTAGGGATGCTTATTAGGGTGCCATCAGGAGGGCTTCAAGGAGGAGGCAGCATTTCAACAGGCCCTCAAAGGAGGAGAAGGTGGCTAACCCAGGTGGTGCCTGGGAGGCCAAGCAGGGGAAAAGGGGCTGCAAGAAGGTGAAATTGAAAGTGCAAAATGTGGATAAGGAGTGTTCTGGGGGTCAGCCTGGAATGCAGCGCTGAGTAGGGGAGAGCCCCGTGGACATCAGGTGGTGGAAGGCTTGGATGGACCTCATCCTCAGGCCTTGCAAAGAAGGAAGAGAGAAGTTTCACAGACCAGGGCCAGCCTCAAGCACTGCCTCTGAGAAGATGGTTCAGATGGGGTCCAGGTAGTGGCTGAGAAAGAGACCCTCCGTAGGAGACAGAGTGTGGGTGAGACACAGACATGCCTGGGCCTTCAGAGGATGAGAAACAAGGGAAGTGACTCAGGGATGTGATGGGCAGGGGAGATGGGATGGGAGAGAACTGAGGGTCCCAGGTTCTGCTGGGGACTGGGCTGACTCTGGTGAAAAGTACTGGAATTGAAGAAAGAAAAAGGGGAATTAGACCTAAGCCCTCCTCCTACCCCTCCCCCCACCCCCAGTCTCCTGTCTCCTGCCCACGAGCTGGGCAGAGACTTCAGAACCCGCACAAGTGCCTTCTAGCTGCAGCACTGAGAAAGGCCCAGCCCCGGCGGTTCACCTGGAAGTAGCCAGCCGTGGGGTCGAGGCAGCCACACTCGGACTGGGGGACGCACTGGAGCCCGCTGAGGACGAAGCCCTGGTTGCACTCGCAGCCCTCCACGCAGCGGTTCTGGCAGGCCATGCCCGAGAACGTGGAATGGCAGGTATCAGGGCACAGCTTGGCACACAGGGTGTATCTGCTGTTGGGTGGGCAGGCCAGCGCTGGTGGAGGGGAGCACAGGTGAGGCAGGGTGGGGAGAGGACGAAAGAGGTAGTTCCCAGCCTAGAGCTCAGAAGGCCCATGGCCAGAGGCTTCAGCCCCATCTCCAGAAGAGAGGAACTGGGAGAAACCACCAAGGAACTCAGCCTCCACCCCCTGGGCCAGGAGGGGGCCCTGCAGGGAGGTGTCAAGAGGCAGGACCACGGGAGCAGACCCACCAGGAGCCTCAGCAGCTCTGCCGTGTAGGCAGGCCCCAGGGGAGCAATCAGAACCCATGTGGCCCCACCAAGGCGTTCAAGCAGGCCCCTCAGGGAGCTGGGCCGGACTGGGGACTGCGGGGCACCCTCCCACCCACCAGTCTGCATTTTACGTGTATACCGCTCCAACTGGGGTGCATTCACACACACGTGCATTGCTCTCACACCCATATCCTCAGGTCGTTGGGAGGGCTTTTTTTTCTCTTTCTTTTTTTTTTCTCTCTTTCTTTTTAAAAAATCTTTTCCTGAAGAACTTTAATTAAGACGCTAACAGAAACAAAAAAGGTCGGAGTATACTCCGGACCCAGATCAGACGTAACAAAACCAAGCTGAACCCAGGGTGGACATGTTGTTGTTGTTGAGTCATTAAGTCATGTCTGTCTGACTCTTTGTGACCCCATGGACTGTAGCCCACCAGACCCGTCTGTCCATGGGAATCTCCAGGCAAGAACACTGGAGTGGGTTGCCATTCCCTTCTCCAGCGGATCTTCCAGACCCAGGGATCAAACCCGGGTCTCCTGCATTGCAGGTGGACTCTTTACCATCTGAGTCACCAGGGAAGCCCTAGAGTGAAAATACTGCCCGGAAAATCCACAGCTGGGAGGAAATCCCAGGAAGCCTTCCTGAGTGTGCAGGTGACCGTGTGATTTTCCCAGGGGAGGTTTCCGACTCTGCGGATTTCCTGGTCCTTGTGTAGGGGTGAAGGGGTTCCACCAGGTGCTGCCCCCCCAACCCCCCGGCCTGTGCCACCACTCTCAGAAGCCACCAGCCCTCTGACGTGCGCGTGAAGAAAGGGGCCCCGCATCTTCGCACGACTCACGGCAGAACTGGGGTCCCCTCCAGGGCTTCACCGCATAGCCGGCCTCCTGGCAGGTCTCAGTCAAGGCCGACATGTGGGCACACAGTATCTGCTGCAGCCCCTGGAAGTTGCACATGTCAAGCATGCAGTTGTCGTAGAAGGAAGAGACCTTGAGATGAGGCAGGCAGGCCCTAGGGAGAGAGGCCAGGTCAGAAGGGATGAGAGGATGGAACCTCGTTCCTCCCACTTTGATGGGCCCGAGCACGGCCCCTCCTGCTCTCCCCCCACCCCCCACCCCACTATGTACTGAAAGGCTCCGTAATCGACTGCGAGCCGTCCGCAGTACTCCGGCCCCGACAGTGTGTTCTTCAGGTCAGTATTGCAAGATGGGAGAGACCCCTGGTTCTCCTGGCACCTGGAAGAGACACCCCCACAAGCCTTAAGGACTGAGGCTCGCCTCCATCCCCGCCCTGCCCGGGCAGTCTCCCCGCTCTCGACGCCCCCTAGTGGACAACATCTGAACGCCAAGAGGTGGGAAAACCGGGCCCGCAAGCAGGAGGCGGGGCTGCTCAGAATCGCCTGGGGACCACTGATGGTGAGGTTGGGGTGAACGTGGTGACAGTGAACTTTGCAGGGAACCAGATCCAGGAGAAAGACAGACGTGGGGGCATACAGAGAGGGCGGAACAGGAGTGATGCCGGTCAGGGTTCTTGGTTCCTCGAAGGGGCAAAGGAGCAGGAGAGCGGAGTGGGGGGCGGGGAGGTCCTCACGCCTGGTCCTCATCCTCCGAGGTCTGCCAGCTGTTACCCAGCTCCTTCTCATCTTGTGCTGGTCTGCCATCCGGCTTCTGGTTGTCGTTGCTACTGTCGCCATCATAGTTGCCACAGAAACCGCAGAGTTTGCTGGAGTAGGTGCTGCGGGCCGGGGAAGGAAGGGTGTTAGTGGAGAGAAACGGCCTCCATCATCTGAGGGACCAGAGGGGCGGGGGGCGGGGGAGGCCATGGGCACGAGGCAGGCTGCGGACCAAGAGGTGCAGACAGGGAACCAGAGCTCCACGCCAGGCACGAGGCGCGCAGGACCCCAAGCTCTAGCTCTTAAGCCGTCTTCACGTCTCCACTCCTCCCAGTCTTCTGCTAACACCCCATCTTCCAGTCATGGCAAACTTCTTGCTGGCCCTAAGACATTCCATTTTTGGAATGTCTTGCAATTACTTGCAATCCCTTGCAATTACTGTTCCCTATTTCTTCTTTTTACTGAAAAAGAAATTTTTTTTTAAATTTTTTGCCTGTACCAAGCAGCATGCAGGATCTCAGTCCCCCAACCAGGGATCAAACCTGTGCCCCATGCATTGGAAGTGCAAAGTCTTAACAACTGGACCACCAGGGAAGCCTCCACTATTTCTGTCAAGTCTTTCTTTCCCTTGTTTGGACATCTGGGGAATTTACTCATCCGTGAAGACTGCAGTCAAGAGACCACTGTTCTGAAGGCTCCCATGGCTCATTAGCAACTCCTTCTAGAACATTCCCGAAGCCTTGTGTATATATATCCTGCTATTATCCCACGGCCCTGAAAGCATTTCCTCCCCCTCTGCAACCAAAGGGAGGCCTGCCGGTGGAGCTAGGTGTTTCCTACCCACAACTGAGAATGAACGCCCTGGGATGGCAGGGGAAGGGGGGTGGGAGAGTCCCCGAGAGGGAGGAAGGGGCAGAGTGGCAGCTGCCTCCCTGGGTCACCCCCTCACCTGGGCACACGCACATACAGCTGCTGGTCACCGTCCCATCTCACCCGCAGACCGAACGCCGTCTGCAGCTGCACAAACCGCCCGCTTGGAGTCAAGAAGACACCTTCAGAAGGTATGGCCGGGAGGGTGACTCGCTGACCCCCAACCTGGAAGGCGGGGAGGGAGGGGGCCGAGGGAGGAGACGAGAGACAGATCCAGGGGTCAAGGAGGAGCCCCCCAGCTGACTCCCACAACCCCACGCCACGCTCGTGACCTCTTCGGCTCCACACAGAACGCTCTGGAGGAGCTGGACGGAGGAGGCCACGGCGGCAGCCGCAGAGGGCTGAGTGGAGGACGGCCTTACCAGCGTGTGTCTGCCCTTGAGCAGGGTGATGGTGGTTTCCGACAGGGTCACGGAGACCCTACTCAGGCAAGACGCGCCCTCCTGTCCTCGCTCCTCGTTCTTCACTGTCACCCTGAAGAAGGGCTCTGGGCCGGCAGAGGAGGGGTCAGGGGAGAACGCCAGGGGGCTCGCTCATTCCGGAAACATTTCTGAGCGCCAATGGGGGGGGGGGGAGCGCCCCCACCCGACTCTGCGGGGAGAAAGCCAGAGGGGAGGCAGGACCCCAGCGGGAGTGGGGGCGTCCTCCGGAACAGCCTGGGACTGCGTGCCCCGGGAAGCCGGCCCACCCCGGCCAGCGGGGGTGTCTGCTGCCGCGCGCGCCCTCAGTCCAAGCAGGCCAAGGAAGCAACTGGCGCCGAGAGGGGTCTTAACCTGCGTTCGCCCCGTGGTCTGGTCCTGCGTGCCAGTGGGTGTCTCACCCCCCACTCTACAGTCGGCCCGCTCCCATCTTGCCCTGCCATCAGCTCCGGCCCTGCCCCGCCGGCCCAAGTGCTCCCAGGCCCAGCTCTCCAGACCTCGGGCTCCTCGGCCAGGCCGTGGGGACAGGGAGGGGAGGCATCTCCAGGGTCCTACCTGTCGAGTTGCCACAGGGTTGGGCCAAGACGTAGGTGCACTTGCCCATGAAGTTAAAGTACCTCCCGTCGAAGGTGAAGTAATGAGGGTCTCCATAGACGAAGCAGGTGGCAGTGCCTGCCGAGGGGATATGGGGGACGTGTGAAGTTGGGTTGCCAGGCCAGGCGCCATGGCCACCTCACCCACCTAGTGGTCCCAGCTCCCCTGGTCAAGGAAGGGATGGGGACCCCCGTGTCACACTCATGGGGACAGGTGGGGAGAGCATGAGGGGTCTCACCGTAGGGGTGGCATCCATACTGGCCATGCTTCCATTGACACACGGTGTGTGTCCCGCACTTGTAGGGCTGGCACTCTATCTGACTGCCAGGCTGGCAGCGGCAATGTTCTGTGCAGTTGGGGCTGAACCACTCCGTCCCTGACTGAGAGCAAGCGGGCTGGGGTTACCAGGGTACCACTCCTTCATGTCTCATCCCGTGGTCTCATCCCCTCCTCCTGCAGACCTTACCTTGTTCAGACTCCTGCTCGCCCCAGGCCCTTTGCACATGCTGTGTTGGAGCCTGTCCCCCTTCCCGCCATCTAAACCATTCCCATACAACCAGCAGAGTTCAGCTCAAGGGTTGCTACCTTCTCAGGAAGAACTTCCAGACCACCCCAACTAGCTGTGGGTACTTCTCCTTCCCAGGGCTTAACACAACCACAATTTTATATTAATTTTTGTGATTATTTGATAAGCTCCCCCACAAGGGACTGTGTCCATCTTTACTCTCTATCTTAGCTCCAACACATAGCACAGTGCCTGGCAAAGAGTTCTCATTTAATGAATACTTCCTTAAGTCTCCCCCAGAATGTGAACCTGCCCTATTCATGGTGACCCCAATGCCAAGAGGGTTAAATGTACCCAATTATGTTTATTGCATTTATAAGTGAACATAAATCCATATGTGTTTCCTGGGGCAGAGAGAAGAGATGCCTGGTGCTGATGGTTCTGACATCACCAGATGGTTCTATCCCAGCTACAGCTGAAGCTTATCCCAACACTGACGCAGGGACACCCAGGAGACAGGTTAAGAGGGCTGGAGGAGGAAGTAAGCCCTCAAGGAGACGAGCAGGAACTCTGATGCTCCATGGGAAGAACCCCAGAGCTGAGAAGATGTACTATTCAATAATGAATAGCTGACTGCACTTTCATTTAATAGGTTGACTATATTCATCATAAATTGCTAACAATAATAATTAACATTTAAGTAACTGGTCTGTGTTGGGACCTAATTTCATCTTCACAGCAACCATATGAGGTAAAAAATCTCATTGTGCACGTTTTATAGATATGGAAACAGATTTGAAGAGGTCAAGAGAGAACCTTGCCAGGGTCACTCAGTAAACAAGTGCCAGAGCCAGGCTGCAACTCAGATCAGCCTGACTCTCGGCGGCTCTGTTTAATATAATGGCATATATATATATATAATGGGCAATAGCCCACATCTGGCCACTGAGCTCTTCAAATGTAGCTGGTGCAGATTGACATTGGCTCTAAGTGTGAAATACACATTGAATTTTGAAGACTTCATTGGATTAAAAAAAAAAGGTACATAAACAATCTCATTAATAAATATTAATTACCTGTTGAAATAGGTAGATGACTGGAGTTAATTTAACCTGTTTCCTTGTACCTTTGTTTTTTTTCAAGATTTTTTTTTGATGTGGACCATTTTTAAAGTCTTTACTGAATTTGTTACAATACTCCCTTTTTACGTTTTGCTTTGTTTTTTTCAGCCCCAAGGCTTGTGGGATCTTAGCTTCCTGACCAGGGATTGAACCCACATCCCCCTGCATTGGAAGGTGAAGTCTTAACCACTGGCTCACCAGGGAAGTCCCATCCTTTTTTTTAAGGTGGCTATTAGGACACATAAGTGCCTTATGAGGCTTGCATCTGTCCCTTCTGGACAGCACTGGCCAGCAGCCTCCAGAAACTCTGGGGGTGCCTGGGGGCAATCAAGTAGGAGAGACAAGACTAGAATCACCTCTCCTTTGACCGATCCTATCAGAATCTGCAAATTCCTTGTTCATTTATTTTGTTTTGGCTATATCTGTAGTTCCCCAATGAGGGATTGAACCCAGGGCCCTGGCAGTGAAAGTGCCGAGTTCTAACCACTAGACAACCAGAGAATTCCCTGCAAGTTCCTTTGGAAGAAGGTTCTGGGATGCTTCACTCTGCCCTGAAAATGCCTGAATGTACTCAGTGTCCGAGGCTCTCTGTATACACAGGGACCCCTGACTTTCCTCAGGATGGAGATAAGGGCCCAGCAATAGCTGGCTGGTCTAGGGTCTAGTGCGTCATGGCTGCCTCTACAGGATGGAGAAATACAAAAATTTCAAAGCTTCCAAGAGCACCGAGGACAGGGCCTCAGGACCACAGGATCTTCTGCACAGCCTAGAGTCAGGCTGGGCCAAAGTGACTGCTTAACAAATATTTATTGTGTGAACAGACTGACCATCAAAAGCCACATGCTGCCAGACTTCCCTGGCGGTCCAGTGGTTAAGACTCTTCGCCTCCACTGCAAGGGTTGAGGGTTCAATCCCTGGCTGGGGAACTATGAATGAAAGACTCCAGCACCAGGTCATCACTGCCTGAGAGCTGACCCCTTGAGAATATCCCATGGACCCAAATTTATGCCAAACTGGAGAGTAGGTGGCGCCAGACCCCAGGGGTTCGGCTCACAGTCTCCCTCTGGGGGAGTGGCCAGCCCCAGGTCTCACCTTGTAGTAATTTTCATTGTAGAAGCATTTGCAGGAAGAGGCGTTGATGCAGCGGGAGTTGTTGAACAGAAAGCCTGAATTGCAGACACAGCCAGGCTTGCAAGAGAGACCACAGGTGGGCTTGGGGCTCTGGCAGGACGCTGGGCAGGCACAGCGTTCGTAGTGGGCATTCGGGGGGCACATGGCTGAGGGGAAACCAGCCTCCATTAAACCCCCAGCTTTTCTGTCTCCCCTCTACCCAGCAACCCCCCACCCCGCCACCATTCTCCTCAAGGAAGTAGGGCCATGTTACTCAGCCATTCAAAGCAACGAAGTCCTGACACAAACCACAGCCTGGATGAACCACAACCTTGACAAAAACACACGCTGAGAAAAAGAAGCCAGTCACAAAAGACCACCTATAACATCATTCCTGTTATGAATTGTCCAGAACAGGCAAATCCATAGAGATAGAAAGCAGGTTTGTGGTGGTCAAGGGCTGAGGGGTTGGGGGACAGGGAGCGCCCACTGATGAATATGGGCTTTCTTTTTGAGGTGATGCAAAATGTCTTGAAATGGAAAAGGGAGGGTGGTTGCACAATTTTGTGAACACACTAAAACCACCAAATCATACACTTTGAAAGGATGAATTTGACGGCAGTGAATTACATCTCAGTAAAAGAAGAAGCACTAGTAATTCTAGTGGTTGGTTCGCAACAACCCCACCCCACCCATCCCCCACCCCACCCCGCCCCCACCGTCCTTCTCAATGTTGTCCTCAGCTTTCTTTCTAAAGTCACCATGATTGGTTCCTCTTCCCTCTGAGACTGCACTTTTCTACAGCATGCGTTTCCCCAGCCCTCTCTCCTCACCACTGTCCCTGACTTCCAGCTCTTTGTCCGAGGCTCCACCACATACCAGGAGTAGGTCTCGGGGTTGTAGTGGTGGCCGGGGTCACAGGGGTCATGGAGGTACTTGGCATCGTGAAGGCTGTCGGCTGAGTGGGTACAAGAGCTGGGCTGGGCTGGGGTGTCATGGGAGTTGTGGGCCTTTCAGTGGGGACGGTGGGCTTTCCTGTGGGAATGGTGGGCTTTCCTGTGGGAATGGTGGTCTTTTTGGTGGGGACAGTGGTTTTTTCTGTGGGAAAGGTGGTCTTTTTGGTGGGAATGGTGGCCTTTTGGGTGGGGACAGTGGTTTTTTCTGTGGGAATGGTGGCCTTTTGAGTGGGGACAGTGGTTTTTTCTGTGGGAATGGTGGTCTTTTCAGTGGGGACAGTGGTTTTTTCTGTGGGAATGGTGGTCTTTTCAGTGGGGACAGTGGTTTTTTCTATGGAGATGGTTGTTTTTTCTGTGGGAATGGTGGTCTTTTTGGTGGGAATGGTGGTCTTTTTGGTGGGGACAGTGGTTTTTTCTGTGGGAAAGGTGGTCTTTTCAGTGGGGACAGTGGTTTTCTCTGTGGGAATGGTGGTCTTTTCAGTGGGGACAGTGTTTTTTTCTGTGGAGATGGTTGTTTTTTCTGTGGGAATGGTGGTCTTTTCCATGGGGACAGTGACTTTTTCTGTGGAAATGGTTGTTTTTTCTGTGGGAATGGTGGTCTTTTCTGTGGGGACCATGGTTTTTTCTCTGGGGATGGTTATTTTTTCAGTGGAGATGGTGGTCTTTTCAGTGGGGATTGTGGGTTTTTCTGTAGGGACAGGGGGCCATTCACTAGGGGAAAAGGGCCATTCAGGTAGGAAGGTGGGTTCTTCAGGGAGGATGGTGGGCTTTTCTGTGGGAATGATGGTCTTCTTAGTGGGAGTGGTGGTCTTTTCTGTGGGGACACTGGGCTTTTCTGTGGGGACAGTAGGTGCTTCATTGGGGACAGTTGGTTTTTCTGTGGCGGCCACAGGTTTTTCCGTGGGGACATGGGATATTTCACTGGAGGTGGTGGATGTTTCTTCAGGGGTCACAGGTTTTTCTGTGTGGGCAGGGGTTTCAGAAGGGCCAGTAGGGGGACCTAGAGGTTTGGGAGGGAGCGCTGTAGATGCAGGTCCTGCAAAGAAAAAAATTCCTGGAGTTTAGTCAAAATCACACCACCCGCATCTTGACCCCCATCTAATTGGAGTGGGTAACTTTGTCACACCTCTTCTAATCCCAACCCAATCTCCACTCACTCAACACTCAACAAAAACTGCCCCTACTATATGTCTGCTCTTGCGCTGGGTTCGGGAAACGAAACAAACGGGATGTCAGCCTTCTCTTCAGGTTCACCGTTCACTGGGTAAGGGGTCCAACCACAGAAATCCATGGCGCCAAGGCCACATTTATCCAAGCAAGCATTCCAACGGGGCCGGGAAGGTACAGGTGGGCAGAACACAGAAGACAAAGCTTTGTGGGGCCTCGGGCACCAAAGTATTAGTCACTCAGTTGTGTCCGACTCTTTGCGACCCCGTGGACTGTAGCTCACCAGGCTCTTCCGTCCAAGGAATTCTTCAGGCAAGAATACTGGAGTGGGTAGCCTATCCCTTCTCCAGGGGATCTTCCTAACTCAGGGATCAAACCTGGGCCTCCTGCATTGCAGGTGGATTCTTAACCAAATGAACCACCAGGACACAAAAGTGGACTTGCATTTTAACACATTATTGAAAGGGTAGTGGGGGGGGCGGTGTTGGTGTTTGCAGAAATGAATGCCTGTGGCCAGCAATTTGTTATGTACGTGAACATTGAAATGCCTCCAGTCAGTAATGTTCGGGTGACAAAGGACGCAATCATAAGTCTCTGATCAGTGAGTTGTGAACAGCGTGTGCAGAGAAGCTCAAGTGCCGCTCATCCCAGAGCGTGGCCCCCTTTCCGGGGCCTGGGGTCCCGTCTTACCTCGACAGCTCCCCTGACTGATGAAGATGAAACCCAAAGCAACGACGAAGTCAGCATGGGAGCCCCTCTCAACCTCAAACATCAGCTGAAGGTCCGAGGGAGAAAAAAACAAGAGAGAAATAGAAGTGAAGGCCTGGCAACGCGGTGACTCTGGGCAGAGAGTCTGTCTTCCACCAAGATGTCGCCTTATTCTGGCCTCAACAGTGCCATGTGGACCCTGGCCTTCCCAGGGGTCGGAGAGCCTGATGGGGAGCACAGAGTACCCTCTGATCCACCCTTCCTCCAGAGATCCATCCTTGAAGTCCTGATTGTGCTCCCAGACCACATCCCCCTCACCAGCCCCACAGCAACGCTCACGCAGTGACTCTCGCCGTTCCTCACCTGCATAGGCTGTTGATGTCCCGAAGGGATGGTCGTGGACTCGTTCAGCCAGTCAGGGCCCTGAGACCCAACTCGTTCCCAGAGAGAACTTGGGGGGCTGCCCGCAGGGCTCCCCAGCTGAAGCCTGAGCTTCGTGCCCTTGCCGCGGCCATCCATGTGGTAGGTGAACGCCACACAGATGGCACCCGGGGCACAGAAGGGCCGGCTCACCAGTTTGTAAGACTGGCCTTCCTGGGAGAACTTGTCAGCCTCAAGGTAGACGAAGTGACTTTCTGGCATAAGAAGGGAACGGGCAAGGTGAGAAACCCCCAGAGGACAAGGCCTGTGCTTTCCTGAGCGTTGCCTTGCTTTCCAAGTGGGGATGAGATGCAAACACCCAAACTCCTCACATTGCAGTGGGCTTTTTAGTTTGTTGTTTGGTTTGGTTTCCTGCTCTTTGTAGACTTCTCACTGGAAGAAGGCAGGATCAGAAAGAAAGGGAAAACCAAACCAGCAACCCAGACTCCTGTACTGGCTGCATCAGTAAATGTCTTGACTGAAAACGACAGTGGATTTTGAGGCCTTGGGCTCAATGAGAAATGCAATGCCTGGATTTTCTTAGGGGGTTTTCAAGCAAACCCAGAACGTAATAATCCTCAACTCATTCTACCTCTGTCGCTTCCAGAGCTCTGGCCCCATTACCGCTTTCCAGTAAACACCCCCTGGTTGATCCTCACCACCTACATCTTGTGTCCATCACACCAGCCCGCCCACTAGCCGTGAGCAGATTCAGGAACTCGTTGCCTTGAGGGATCCTCCATCTCCTCACCTCCACTGAGGGAGATTCCGAAGGGACCTATACCGTGGATGAGCGTATTTGCGCTTCCCTGGGTCCAGTGTCCGCCATCCTGTAATACCTGGACCCAGTCACAGAAGGGGTGGTCCTTGTCTTCAAAGTCACACTGAGGAAAGCTCTCTGGGGAATCAGAATTGGAGGTGTGAGAAATCTGCGCCATGCTCTCTATTCCCCTCTCAACCCCCACACTGTTCTCTGAGCCCCTCTCACCCCCACAGGGAGCAACGCTGATTGCATCCACGGCCACCGCTGGCTCTGGGATCTTTGCAAACACGCCCACCAAGGTGAACTGAAGGGAGAGGGAGAAGGGCCCAGGAGTGAGGAAACAGCATAAACACTCTGTATGCTCAGTCACTCAGTCGTGTCCGGCTCTTTGCGACCCCATAGGCTATAGCCCACCAGGCTTCTCTGTCCTCAGGGATTCCTCAGGCAAGAATACTGGAGTGAGTTGCCATGCTCTCCTCCAGGGGATCTTCCCAACCCAGGGGCTGAACCCAGGTCTCCTGCATTGCAGATGGATTCTTTACTGTCTGAACCACCAGGAAGCCCAAGAAAACTGGAGTGGGTTGACTCTCCCTTCTCCAGGGGATCTTTCCGACCCAGGAGTTGAACTGGGCTCTCCTGCACTGCAGGCGGATTCTTTACCAGCTGAGCTTCCAGGGAAGCCCTGCCTAAAAGCTCAGCCCCCTCCATCTGATTTTACTCTATGCAGGGACCCAGGCACCCGGCTTCCAGGGCCCAAACTCTCAGTCCATGTCAATATCGAGCACGCCTCCCATAAAAGGAGACCTGACCCCTTGCTGCTCTATACCTGAATCTGTCCCTGGCCTGTGTAATTGACAGAGACAGGCTGCCAGTTGGGTCCAGGTTGTCCTGAGAAGATGGTGTGTTTCCGGATGCTGCCTACGATGGAAGGAACGCAAGAGAGCCATGAGATGAAGGGGGCTGGGAAATGAAGTCACACCAGTACTCAGAAGGAGGAGTAGCCGAGGGAATATCTGGAGTAGGTTCTCAGCACATCCTTTTGTCTCACTCTCCTGGTTTTTTTAAATCTATTTTTCCAGAAGCCCATGCCCTCCCTGCTCCCAAATTCCACCCCACGGAATCATCTTGCCAGTATCCCAGATTTCCCCAGACCCTGGGGGATGCCCCCCATTTCCTCGTCAACCCAACCCTGGAAAAAGAGCCTCAGGACAGTATGAATCCTGTGACACTGTCATTCTCACCTAAGACAGATGCGTAGGCCATGAAGCCTGCACCGGGAGACCGGCCACGGAGGATGTAGTGAAAGGACAGACTCAGGCAGCCGGAGGACTGGATCAGGGGGCTCAGGAGGACAGATTTCTGACTTGCTTTTGCATTCTTGGGGTCCAGAAGCATGTAATAGCCATCTGGGGAGGAAAAGATCAGTAAAGTGGGGAGTGACCCAGGGCTAGGGGCTGCAGGGGCAGGGAGCCTGGCCCCGGGGAGCTTTAATAGCTGCCAAGGATAAGCCAGCACCGAGGTGAGCCTACACCCATCACACGAATGGCTGAGGCCTTGGTTTCTTCCAGAAATGCTTGGCAGGTCGGGATGAGGACGCAGGAAACGCAGCATCTTGTCAGAAGCAGCAGTCAGAGACCTGTCCTTTGGATTTTGATGTTTGAGGTCCCCTCAGAGTCACTTCCTCTTCCTGTTCTTGAGCCACTGGATGTGAGTGACTCACAGAGTGGTGAGATGCGGGTATGATGCTGACTGCGGGGATGTCCCCGCCCAGCCGCCCACCCCCACCAGCCCACCAGCTCAGGCAACTGATCAGCCTGGACCTCACTCCGTGGTGCAACTGGTAGGTAGCCTGGAAGCTGGGCTGCAGGAGGGGGGTGCCACGGAGGGGTGTGGATTAAGGAGGCACATGTCACGACACCCAAGGACTTCTACCTGGAGAGCACGCTTGACCCAGGGAGCCCCTGAGAAAGGTGGGCTTTGTAGAGGAGAGAAGAAGGCTGAAATGGAGAGAATGGCAGGAAGCGGGCTGGAGAAAAGAAAGGAGCCAGCAGGGAAGGAGGAGGGGAGGGGTAAAAGGGGGAAAGGAAGCAACAAGTGTTGATATGGGGACGTCTGAGACGCGGAAAAGAAGATGCAGGAGGAGAAGGGAAGAACGATGGGAAAACATAAGGGAGCAAGATGGGGAAAGAAGGAGAGAAAAAAGGGAAGGGAACCCCCGATAACATTTGCTGAAACTGCTGGGCATGAGGTATAGTGCTAAATGCTGAGGGAGATGTAGAGATGGGCTGGCCCTGCTCTCCAGGGTCTTAGTATGAAGGTGAGGTGGGGTTTTCTCCAAGTCTTTCTAGAAGGCAAACCTCAGGCAGGAGAAAAGATCAGAGGAGGGGATCAGAGGGAGGGATGGAGAAGAATGGACTCTGCCCTTGCCCTGTCCCTTCAGTGGATTCTAGGACAAAAACAACCTGGGGATCCTTTTAAACATAAGTCAGAGCAGGCCACTCCCCTGCTCCTGCAATGGCCCCTGCATCCATGTAGAATAAAAGCTACAGTTAGTCCTGACAACGGCCTTCAAAGCTCCAAGTGCTCTGAACCACCCAGGACCCATCTGGGCTCATCTTCTCCATCCTAGGCATGTGGCTCCCTGCTGTGTTTCAACAACCACCCCCAGTCCACTCCCCACTCAGCGTCTTTGCAAGGCTGGCCCCTTTGCTTAGAATGTTCTTCCCCTCAATAATTTCATGCCCCTCTCCCTCACCTCCTAAAAGTTTATGCTCAAACGTGACCTCTATGAGACCTCCTCCGACCACGCTATTTAAAACTCCCAGCCTACCCTGCTCCCAATCCCCTTACTTTGTTCAATTTTTTTCCCCCCTGATAGCACTGGTCAACTTATAACTGTATAATTTACTTCTTCATTGTTTCAGAAACTGTCTCCCCATCTCCTTCCACACCACTCTGGTGTGGGACAGTACCTGGCACATCGTAGGTGCTCAATAAATGTTCGTTGGATGAATGAAGGAAGGGTGACGGGGAAAAGAGGTGAGGAGAGGGTGGTGTTGGGTCTGCCGGGTAGACCTTTGGGGGTGGCAATGGCGGGGGGAGCTGGCTGGGCACTTAGAGTTTGCTTTCTGCCCTGTAACTTAAGCTGATGGAGGTTGGAGGTAACTCCATCCCAAGGGAGTTACGGTAGGGTGGTCAGAGAAGCATCGTAAATGTCCGCAAAGGTCTCTAGAAGCTCAGAAAGTCAGAGGACAGAAGCGTGGCCGTTACTCACCCCCAGGGCTAGAGTAGTCTCCCTCGGGTCCCACTTCCTGCACCCCCGTCGGCCCCTTCTTCTGGACCCACTTGGCCCCAGAGGGCGTCGAGATCCAGCTCCAGCCACAGAGATCTTTCAGAGTGTCAAAGTTGCACGTCTGCATCATGCAGACTGAGAGGAGAGAAAGGAGGAAGGAGACGGCTCAGAAAAGTATGCCTCAGACACAACATCACGAATCAGCTACACTCCATGTGTGTGTATGCATGCTGGGTCTCCTCAGTCGTATTCGACTCTTTGCGACCCTGTGGACTGTAGCCCACCAGGCTCCTCTGTCCATGGGATTCTCCAGGCAAGAAGGCTGGAGTGGGTTGCCATGCCCTCCTCCAGGGGATCTTCCTGACCCGCGTCTCTGGAGTCTCCTGCATTAGCAGGTAGGTTCTTTACCACTCGTGCCACCTGGGAAGTCCAATACTCCCATATAAAATAAAATAAAAAAAGAGAAGATCGCCTCAGTGTGGAGTCAGACTCCCGAGTCCCAACCTGGGTCCTGATGTTACCACTGCCAGCTTGCCAGGCAGATTTGGTCCCACTCCCCAGCGGCCGTGTTCCTGCCACAGGTTACGTAAGCCGTCCAAGCCTCAGTTTCCCCATCAATAAAATGGGAACAAGAGCACCGGCCTGTTTTAAGTTACATCGCGTGCAGGAGCATCTCGCACAGTGCCTGTGTTCATTAAGTGTTAGTTCCTTGCATGCACCTTCTGGTGCATTTATTCCCCTTCCTTTGAATTTATTCCCCTTGAATCTCAAACATCAGCTTAGAGGGCCAATTCGGAATGGATCTGGAGTATTAATTACAGCCAGGTCGACCGGACACCCATGTTTGTCAGAGACTGAGTGTTCCCTGGGATGCAGGACTTTTGGTGCTAATGTAGGTACAGCCCTGGGCAAACCAGAAAGGCCAGTCACTTTAGGACAGGTGTCGCCCCAGTTGTGTGTCCCAGGAGAACCTGTCTTCAGACGTGGCAACTTCAGGAATCAGGTGTGGGGTGTGGAGGTAGATGGAAGCAAGTCGCCCTAAGTCTGGGAGAAGCCAGGGTCACGGTCCCTGAGCGAGTCCTGCCACCTGGGCACCTACATAAAGGGTGAGGAGAGAGAGGAGGCAGGATGTGGGCTCACCCCGATTGCAGGAGCCCCGACGGATAGAGATAGCGTCCAGAGCGATGTCCAGATAAGTCGTGCTGCCCCACGTGCCTTCAAATATCAGCTGCGGGAGGGAGGAGGGGGCCACCCGCCCCATGAGCCCCTTTGCCTTAGGCTCCCACTTTCCTGCCTGAACTCAGAAGCCCCCCTAGCCCCTGTGCCCTCTCCTGGACCCCCCGCCCAACACCCAGATTCCCATGGGGACCTCAGACTCTGCCTGCAGCCTCACCCGGCTGGGCAGGACAAGGCCCAGAGGCACCGTGACGGCGGTGGGGATCCAGGAGGGGCTTTGTGTGTTCACGTGTTTCCACAGCAGGTTGGGGTGCTTGCCCTTGGCGTCTGAGGCCAGCCACAGCTTGAGTTGGGCGCCCCACGACAGCCCAAACATGTAGTAGGCGAAGCGCACGCAGAGGGGGCCCTGCTCCCATATCGGGGGGCTTTGCAGGCGGGCCACCCCGCCCGGGTGGAAGGCGCTGGAGTCCATGTGCAGGTAGTAGCCCTCTGGGGGAGGCAGAGCCCTGAATGATGAAGCCTTGCCCACCCCCACCCAGCACCCCCCCAAGGGCTGCCCCCCCCAGCCCTTTCCCAGAGCCCTAACACCCACTTCCGGCCAGCTCCCTGCACCCAAACCTGCCGCTGTCCACCTTCCAGCTGCCTCCCTAAACCTTCAGCCTCCTCACCTCCACTGGGGTACCCCCCGGGGGGCCCAGTGCCGCTGGCGGGGGAGGGCTGGCTTTCTCGAGTCCAGTCTCCATCGTCTTTAGTCGCTTGGCTCCAATCACAGAGGGGTCTGGAGTCATCCTCAAAATCACAGTGGGTGAGAATGGCTGGGGAGAGGAGAGGGGAGCCTGCAGAGCCAGCCCCAGTGGTGTGTGCGGAGGGTGTCTAGGTCGGGGGTGGCAAACCGAGGTCCCAGGCAGGCAGGCTCCTCTAGGCAGCCTCCTGCCTTGCTGTTGTTCATTTGAATGTGAACCTTTCAGGCAGGGCTTGTTCTCTGCTCCTCCCCGGCTCCCTCCACCCTCCATCATCTGAGGGTTGCCCTTCACGTATTTATTACATGTTTATGTCAACGCAGGGCCAAGAGCACCTGCGGTGGCCACCCCTGGGAGGGACTGGAGGTCCGAGCAGTCCCAGGTTTCAACTCACAGTTTTCCCGTGAGTTGCGAGCGAGGGGCTTCCAGTCTGGAGGCTTCTCTTTCCTTGGTATTGATTTGGGAAAAGAAGGGGGAGGGGGAATGTAGTTCTCGTCATTACCAAGAACTGCTAAGCCCCCACGATTGTGAGCTTTCTGGAAGTTTGTCCCTTTCTTTTTATCCATCTTGTATCAACGTGTATGCAGGGAACATACACTTACTTGAGGGTTTTCAAAAAGGTCACTCACAGCCTTCTCACCTCGTCATCTGTCTCCTAAAGAGCATCTCCCCTCCAAGCGCCTCACGTCCCCTCTGGCTCCCTCCACCCGCTGTGCCCAGGATGTCACGCGTGGTTTTCTTGCATAAGAAGAACGAGCTTCTCTGTGAGGGAATTCTCACACACCACCTGGGAGTTTACATCTGAGGCATCTCTTTATTTCAGGTCGAGGTTTTCCTGGGCTGTTGCCCAAGTTTTCCCCACGGAGTAGGGACTATATGGGCCTGGTGTTGCCAGATGGGTGGTGGGAACGGTCCTGCCCTGACTGAACACAGAGACCAGTGACACCTTACAGATTCCACAGAGAAGCCAGTGGCCTTTCCCCGGTGGCGTGGGCCACATAGGACAGCTGTTTGTTTTAGTAGTTCAAGTCCTGCTTGTCCATAACCCTTCAAACACGGGACTTCCCTGGTGGTTTAGTGGTTAAGAATCTGCCTTGCAATGCAGGGGACTAGGGTTCGATCCCTGGTTGGGGAACTAGGATCCCACATGCCCTGGGGCGACCAGGCCTGCATGCGGCAACGACCGAACCCATGAGCCACAGTGACCGAGCCCACATGATGCAGCAAAAATCCCGAGTGCCACGACTAAGACCCGACACAGCCACATCGATAAATGTTAAAAAAAAAAAAAATCCTCTCAAACAAGCTCCAGGACACCAAGCCATCCATCATTTGTTGCTGCTTCCAACTTGTTGTGTCTCTGTCCACTGGGTCTGCCCTGGGTTTTGTCCATTTTCTGAGAACCCAGCCTCTCTGTCCTCCCTTGCCGCCCCCAGACCTGTCTCCCGAGCTCTGCACCTCCTCCCTGTCCCCTGACACTTCACCTCTGTCCCGCTTCTGCGCAGCGGCTCACACCCCCAGGTCCAGGCTCAGCGGGCTGCAGGGCCCCGCCGCTTCTGTTCAGGAGCCTCCTGACACCCATCAGGGGGTCCCTCCTTCCTCCCCGGGGCCACACCGTTCATCACCAGCCCACTTGTCCCTTCCAGCTTTGCCCCTCGCTCTCTTCCTCAGAGGCACCCCAAAGCCCCCCTGAGCCCAGCTTACCGGGTGGGGGCAGGCATGTGGCCCTGGCCCCAGGCAGCCCCCAGCAGCAGCACCAGAGTCCAGACTGGAGGAGCCATGCAGGACCTCAGAGGCGGCTCTCGGGGAGAGGAGGAAGGCAGAGTGAGGAGCCCAGGCCGCCTTATCCCCGCCTGCCCCTCCTCGCTTGGCATCCTACTGAGGAAGCCAGAAAACTGCCCGGAGAACACAAGAACGCTCTGGGAAATGGAAACTATGAGAACTGAAACCTAAACCCCTACAGAAGAGTTAAACGTTGACATCAAGAGAAATAAAATGAGAACAAGAGAGAGGGAAAGAAAGAGAGGAAGAAAAGCGAGAGAGAGACTCGGTCCAGGATGACTGACATTCAACCAGGAGAGTCCAGAAAAGAAATAACAAAGAAAAAGAAATTACTTAAGAAAAAACACAGAAGAAGATTCCCCAGAACTGACAATTGAGTCTCTTGATTAAAAAGGGGTCCATTCTGACAAATGCAAAGAGACCCATGAAAGGTGTGTCATGAAATCTCAGACTGTCAGGGCTGAAGAGACAATCCCAAACACTTTCAGACAGAAAAAAGCAGGACACCTACTAAAGATCAGGAATCAGCATGGCACCGGAATTTTCAATAGTAACCATGGATTCTGAGATCCAGTGGAACATTGTCTGCAGAATTCCAACCATTTCAAACCTAAAGTTCTTCATAGCTGGCAACAGGGGCGAAGGCAACAGAAAGATGGAGCAAAGTGAGGACTGAAAATGCTTCTTGGCAAAGAATTGAAAAAGACAAGTCACAGAGGAAGACCGACAAGGAGCCAGGTGACATTGGAAAAGAGGTTCTGCTTCCATCATCATAAGGGAAATGCTGATCAAGACTACAACTTTCATGTTGGCAACAGTTCAAAGGACTGAAGCATTGAGTGTTGGTCACGGTACAGGTAGACACACTCAAATATGTTCATGCTAAGAATATGTTGATGAAAGCATCTTAGAAGGTAATTTGACAATGACTATTCAACTTTCAAATGTGTTTCTCTTGGATCCAGTTTACCTTTCTAGGAGTCTATCTGCAGAAATATGTGTGTATTTTCACAAAGATGTACATGCCTTAAAGATGTTAATTGCAGCACCATTCACAACAGGAAGGAAAAATCAAGGTTACCTAAATGTTTGTTGGGCTTCCCAGGTGTTGCTAGTGGTAAAGAATCTGCTTGCCAGTGCAGGAGACCTAACAGATGCAAGAGATGTGGATCAGGAAGATCGCCTGGAGGAGGACATGGCAACCCAGTCCAGTACTCTTGCCTGAAGAATCCCATGGACAGAGTCTGACAGGCTACAGTCCACAGGGTTGCAAAGAGTCAGACGTGAATGAAAAGACTTAGCATGCACGCAAATGTTTCCCAGATGGATGGTTGGATTGTATTAAGAAATATTATTTATATGAAGGAATATTTTATGGCTGCACAGCAAAGTGATTCAGTTATACATATATTCTTTTTCATAGTCTTTTCCATTATTGTTTATCACAGGATATTGGATATATTTCCCAGTGCTATATGGTAGGATCTTGTTGTTTATCCATCCTATAGATAATACCTTGCATCTGCTAACCCCAAACTCCCATTCCATTCCTCCCCCCCCACCCCCCATTGGCAAACACAAATTTGTTCTCTATGTGAGTCTGTTTCATCTGTTTCTGTTTCATAGGTGAGTTCATTTGTGTCATTTCTTTAGATTCTACATATAAATGAGAGCATATGGTATCTGTCTTTCTCTTTCTGACTTTACTTAGTCCTATAATCTCCAGGTCCATCCATGTTGCTGCAAATGGCATTATTTCATTCTTCTTTATGGCTGAGTAGTATTCCGTTATATATATGTACCACATCTTTTTTATCCATTCATCTATCGGTGGACATTCAAGTGGTTTCCATGTCTTGGCTATCGTGACTAGTGCTGCTATGAACATAGGCGTGCATGTATCTTTTTGAGTTACGGTTTTGTCCAGATACATGCTCAGGAGTCGGATTGCTGGATTATATGACAACTCTACTTTCAGTTTTTTGAGGAAACTCCACACTGGTTTCCGTAGTGGCTGCCCAGTTTACATTCCACCAACAGTCTGTGGGGATTCCCTTTTCTCCACGCCATCTCCAGCATTTGCCATTTGTACATTTTTTAATGATGGCCATTCTGACCGGAGTGAAGTGTTACCTCGTTGTTTTTTTGATTTGTATTTCTGTAATGACTAACGATGCTGAGCATCTTTTCATGTGCTTGTTGGCTGTCTGTAGAATCTCATGTTCTGTTCATTGCAAAATTATTGTCTTCATTTTCCTCATGTGAAAACTGAACTCTACAGAAATGATGTCAATTGTCCAGCATTGTACCTACTCAGAGTCCTGCCAAGTCCCATGGTTCCTAGAAGTGTGTTCCAACAGGGGGTGGAGTAACACCCTAGTCAGAGCAGATCTACCTTCATCAGTTTCATCAACAGCAAGTCTACATGAGCATGCAGGTAAAAGGGTGGCTTTGCTGCTTTTTAAAAACCCCATTGACTCTCATGTCTGTATCTTGGCTGGAGGGCTGTCCAGAGCTCAACTCTCATGAGCCCGAGTTCCGGTATCCCACCCCCAGGTGTTCCTAGTAAACTTCAGTTTCACTCCTTGCACTTCAGGAGCACCCCGCCACTCCGTACTATCAGAGCTGTGTCCAGAGAGCCTGGCCTTGGCCCCGACACATGACGGGGCTGCCTGGGCTGGCCATCCTCCTAAGCTGTCAGGGAGGGGCTGGTACTGCCCTGCTCCAGATGTTGGAGAAGGAAGTCCCAACTCCCTTTGGAGTTCCAGGGACTCCTTCTGCCTGAATGAGCACGCAAAGGGCCCAACCCCAGAAAAAAGATTCTCTGTCCTTCTGCACCAAAGCTGGGGTACAAAGATGCCCAGCCCAAACCCTGATCTCCCCTTCCTCCAGAGCAGCTTAGGAGAGGACTTCCCTGATGGTCTAGTGGTTAAGACTCTGAGCTTCCACTGCAGGGGGGCACCGGTCCAGTCCTTGGTTGGGGAAGTTTCTCATGTCTGGTGGTGTAGCCAAGACAAAACAAAACAAAAAACCAGAGCAGGTGAGGAGAACGATCAATACCGGGACAGAGCCAGGAAAGGGTTAACCAGGGACAAGCAGCAGAAGCCCAGTGACCCCCAGCCCCTCCAGGTTAGTCAATAAGTCCTCCGAGGGCTGCTCCTGCTGACCTCTCTTTGGCGCCACAGGGCTGGACAGTCTCAGCTTCCAACCTGTCTGGGGTTGGGGGTTGGTGCTCAGGCAGGACAGGAAGGGATGGTGGTGTGGGAGGAGCTCTGCTTTTTGGGGAGTCGGAATGGGCAAGGCCCCTGGGCCATTATCACTGACAAGACTGGCTGTGGTAGGAATAGGTGTCGGTGACCTTGGGATGTGGAAGAACCCGGGAATAACTCCAGGGGATGCAGCCCCTCCTGGATTCCCTGTGTGGCTTTGGACCCTTTAGTTCACCCACTCTGGTCCTCAGTTTCCTCGTCTGTAAGATAGAAAGACCAGCATAGCTCAGGTTTTCAAGAAACCAGAAAAAGAAAATCATTATTAAAAAAAGAATCATGGCACTTTCCTGGCGGTCCAGTGGTTAAGTCTCCATGCTTCCAATTTGAGGGGCTCAGGTTCGATCCCTGGTTGGGAAACTAAGATCCTACACGCCATGAGGCCCAGCCAAAAACCAAAAAAATTGTTATAAAAAAACAGAAATTGTGAGTGGTTGGCATAAGTTTTTAATAATTCATTTTTTAATCGAGGAGATTTATAGACATTTGGACATGATTCACATGAGCAGGGAAACCATTCGGCTGTTTTTCTGTTGCCAATAATCTTTCACAGTGTCGAAGTTTTATGATGGAGTTTTGGAGGCATGAGCCTTGACCAGCTGGGAATAACATAGTTAACCTTCACCCTAGATTCCAGTGTCTCAGAGGCCCCATTTTGCTAACTCAGCTCCAGCAGCAGTCACCTACTGGGGGAAGGCAGTGGACTGATAGGCCCAGGAGAAACCCAGGTGGCCCGGGGGCCAGGCTCAGGCAGATGCATTCGGTCAGCCTGATGTGCAGGCCAAGAGGCTGCAGTCAAGGGTGGGAGCTGGGGCTGCAGGCACGGGCCCCAGAGCTGGGAGACTTGGATGGTGGGAAGGGTGGTAGGCACATTCGACTTTTCCAGGGGATGGATCAGGAAAGAGTGGTAACAAGAAATGCCTGGGATTCACGCCTCATTGACTGAAGCTGTTTCCTTCCCTCCGTCCATTCCCTCTACTCTTCTCCCCATGAGGCTTGCTTCCAGCAGAAGAGGGACCCAGAGTCCCAGAGCCTGGCTCCTGGTCCTGACACTTCCTCTCAGTATCTTATGACCCAGGCCAGACCATTCCATGATCTCTCTGGGTCTCCGTGTCCTCCTCTCCAGTTTCTGCCCTCCTCATTCGGTTATGAGAGCAAATGCAAGACTGCCTGGGATAGCACTTTGGAAGTGGCAAAGCCCTCTACAAACAGGAGGCATCTCCATGAAACAGTTATGTAACCTGCTGACTCAGAACCAGGCTGAGTTGGCACCCATCCCACCCGGAAGTTGGAAGAGCTGGCTCAATCACTCACCCAGAGGAACTTAGTTTTAGTTTCCCCGTCTGATGAATGGGGATGATGCCTGCTGTCCTCTTTCGTGTAATGATGGTGAGAATCACAGGGGATCTTGTAGGTGCCAGAGATTAATGTGTTGTTAATCGTCAAATCATCATCATTATAATAGTGCAGAAGAAAGCGGGTCTTTTTGCCCCAAGGGGACTGTCCACTCTAGGAGGACACTCGGTTGTGGGTAGCACAGATCATAATTCTGCTTTTCCATGTACATAGTCCAAAGGCTGGCATACAGTAGGAACTTCATAAATGTGAAACAAATTATGTTTTTAAATTATGTTCTTAACCTACTCACTCATCACACCTGACTCAGGTCATATACTTCAGGTTCTGTTAGTTTTTTTTTTTTAATTTTTAAATTTTATTTTTTGGCCATCATGTGGGATCTTAGTTCCCTGACCAGGGATCGAACCCATGCCCCCTGAATTGGGAGCACAGAGTCTTAACCACTAGGGACCATTAGGGAAGTCCTTTTTTTTTTTTAATTGAAAGCAATAAGAAGTCTGAAGTAAGTGGAGGAAGAAGGTCAGGGGGAAGAAAGATCCAGGAGATGTTTAGGCAGCACTCAGGCCAGGAGACAGACAAGACTTATGAGTCTTGTTATGAGTCCTAAATCTCAAGTTCAGGTCCTAGCCGTAACTTACTAACTGGATTTCCTGGACTTCAAGATAAGTCTCTTTGCTTTATTTTTGCCAGCAAGAAAGAGAGATTCCATCCTTCCTGATTCACAGAGGTGGAGTAAGAACCAGATGGCATGTGTGGAAACCATAATACGAATTTTTTTCCTCCGAAATGTGGTTGGAGTCCTCAGGGTTCTATAGCTTGTAGGTTACCCTAGCATTTCCCAAGAGGGCCTGAAGAGGGCACTGTAGCCCAGGAGCCGCTTTGGGCAGAGTGAAAATTCTCGGGCTGACTCCTCCCACCGCAGCTTCGGCCCACCCCACTCCACACACACAGATATTTGGCAAATACCCTCCAACCCCTCAACCTGCTCATATTTTCCCTGCCGCAGATTGCAAAACATTCCCTCCCTTGAGCATATTTGCAGGGGTGCAGGCTAACTTCTCTGTTTTGCCATACAAGCAGAAAGACCAATCCCCCTGCCCCACGGATGATAATGGTCAGGATCAGTCTCCATCCAGTTTCGTGACATCTTTTGCGGTCTGCACAGGTATTTCTCCGCCGTTTGCGGCTGAAACATTATTTCTGGGAAGGAATTTGAAGTTGACTGTCGGGGGAAAGGGTAAAATCAGAAGTAGAAATTCCCTGGCAGTCCAGTGGTTAGGTTAGGACTCCCTGCTTCCAGTGCAGGGGGCATGGGTTCTATCCTTGCTCAGGGAACTAAAGTCCCATATGCCATGTGGACAAAAAAAAAAAAAGAAGAAGAAGAAGAAAGAAGTAGGGGTCAAGTGTGGAGGTTGAATGAGTTTGTTCCGTGTCCCCATCCCAGAGGAGCTGAGAAGGCTTATGTGACAGGAATAAGGCGCAAGTTGTTTTACTTCTTGGTCTGCACCATGGGAATGACCGAAGTGACGTTCTCCCAGGGCCGTGTGAGGAATGCAATGAGGTCGGATAAGTGAACTATGTGCAGCAGCTCTGAGCAGTAACTGCCCAATGAGATGGTTGTCCGGGAAATTCATTCCCACTGTACCTCCATCTACTGCCCTTTTCTGCAAGTTTCAGGTTGGAGCATTAATGGTAACCACCCCCAGGCAAGGAAAGTTCTGCTGGACTTAGAGAGAGCTTGTATGCTGGGAAAGCCTGGTGCTGGGATGATAGCATTAGAAGAAGGGGCTACAGAAAAGAGGCAGGAAAGAATAAAGTTCCAGCGGACAGTGTTGGCAGCTGCCAGCAACCCTCAAAAGGGCCCCTCCTCCTGGCACCCGTGTCCTTACTGGCCCCAAAGCTCACTAAAGGCTTGCCCAGGGGAATTCCCTGGTGGTGCAGTGGCTGGGACTCCACACTCTCACTGCCAGGGCCCAGGTTCAATCCCTGGTTAGGGAACTAAGAGCCCGAAAGCTGTGCTGTGCAGCCAAAAAAAAAAAAAAAAGACTTATCCTGGGCCAGTTGGCAGCTACCTACTAAGGACTAGCCTTGAATGGAGCCACCTTATTGACCAGCGTGGGCAGAGCTTGTGGCCTCAGGCCAATGGGGTCAAGAGGTCAGACAGGCCATGCGAGGCAGCACGTAGCACCCCACCCCCTCCACCTCTGGCTTCCCGGACCTGCCACCTACTGCCAGGATGGGGACAGACCCAGGGAAGTACGGGGCTCCCGGGAAAATAGGAAAAACCAAGAGCCAGCTTGTGGTTTCAGTTCTTGCCAGTGAGGTTGAAAAATACACAAGACTTGGACCCAATGAGAACCAGGGGCCAGCCCCCATTCCATCTTCATGGCTCCCACCACCCTCCTTGTCCAGCGGACTCTGCTGCCACGGAGTCCCCATGAAACCCGGAGAATTCATGTCTTGCCCCCTAAATTCTCCAATCCATCCTGTCCCTGCTTGGTACGTGTATAAGGAGGTATCCATCCTCCAGCTTGTCCCAGCATTGCGGCTCGGCAGCATGTCAAGCTGAATTTCAGTGTCTCCCCAGCATGGTGCTGCCCCCAAGTTTAGGTTGAACTCTGAATTCCTCCAGCTTTGGGGCCTCAGACTAGCCCTGTGACATTCTTAGATCTGAGTTGAGCTCTGGACAGTTCCTCTAGCCCCTGAGATGTCACCACTGGCCCTGGAGTGTCCGTGGGACAGGCTGGCACTGGGCTGGTGGCCCTTCGACAGGGGTTGGGAGTGGCGGTGTGGAAGGCGTGGCTCAGGCAGTGATGGTGAGCGAGGTGGTGGATGTGCCCGGGGTGATCCACCGGGTCACCTGTCCCCTCTCCTGCAGGCCTCCCCCGCATACAGCGTCAGCTTTCCCCGCAGGAAATTGGAGTAGATTCGGAAAAGCTTGGACAAAGCATCAACAGTGAATGTTCGGAGTGGGGCTGCGGAAGGGGTCGCATCCGGAAGGGGGATGGCTTCTTTCTGCAAAGAGAGGACTGAAGGTTAGCGCAGCGCCAGGGGCCCCGGCAATGGGTTTCGGGGTAGAATGGCTGGAGGGTTTCCTTGGCAGGACCCTTCTCTCATTTTACAGAAACAGCAACCCTGGGGGCAAGGAAGGGGCCAGACACACCTGGGCTCCCAGTGCCCGAAGCAGGGAGGTGAGACTGCGGAGGCCGCTGACAGCTTTGTCCACATGCAGCCGCAGGGCCTCGCATGGCTGGGATGCGTTGGCCAATAGGACCTGGCCCCGCAGGATAGCTTCTGAGAGCTGGGCCAGGCCCTGCCAGACTTCCAGGGCCTGTTGCTGGACCTAAAGGGAGCAGAGACTTGGAGTCAGCTGGCCCAGGCCAGCCTCACCCTCCTCCCTCTCAGCAGCCCCATGCAAACAGAAGTTTTGTAGAATGAATGAACAAATGGATGAATGAACGTTCACCCTCATCTTTGCTGCTCCATTTCTTCTCTCTCTAGCATTCTCCTGCCCATCCTAAGAGGTTCCCAAGATGAGACTTCCCAAGAGGAAGGAACCCATGAACTCACCTCCATCCTCTTCCAGGCATAGAAGTTAACCTTGGTGTCTGGGACAGTGATATTCTCATTGAAGCTGCAGCCTTCCACACAGCCCATCTGAAATGCACAAGCCTGGAGTCAAAGGTCCCAGGGCCTCTGTCCAGCTTAGCCCCTCACCTAGCTTCCACTTAGGCACTGAGGGCTACCACTCCTAGGACTTTTACTGGGGACGTTGGCTCCTCGCTTCCACCCCTGAACCAAGCGCCAGGTTCCTGAATCTTGCGGGGGGACACCCTAGAGCCCCAAGTGTGATTTCTGTGGAAGGTCCTGGGGAGGGGACCTCACCGTGGCATTTTCGGCCTCCCTGGCCTCCAGGATGTACCTCTCCAGGACTCGGCTGTCACAGATGAGGCGTGGGGGGGCGCCCAGGACTGGGAGGCCCGGAGGAAACAGCAGAAAGGACAGCAGCAGCAGCAGCAGCGGAGTACAGTCTAGGAAAGAGAATCCGGCTGCGGGTAAGGTGGGTTCTCGCAGGAGAAGGGCTAGTTTGGACCGGCAGGTTCACCCATCCCGCTGCGCGGCCCCCAGTGAGCCCTCCCCACCCAGACCTTGGGAGCGCTCAGGCTCTGCCTCCGCGTTCATTCAATCCCGCGGCCGCGTGCACACCCCACCCCCCCCAGCTACCGGCATCCACTTCTCCCGGCCAAACTTCAATCCCGGTCTGACAGCGGCGTCCCTTCTCGCAGATCCGGGTTGTGGCTCTCAGACCCAGGTGTCTGAGTCTTCCTCGGCACCCACAGAGCCGCGCCTCTTCTCCCTGAACCCCCAGCCCTCCGCCCTGTCTCCGGCTCAGGTTCCGACTCTCCTCGGGGGATTCCTTGAGCCCGACCGACCGGCAGGTGAAGGCTGCCCCAACCCCCTTGCCCTTCCGGGGTCCTTGGCAAGTCTCAAGTCCTTGAACCAGGCCACCTCGGGGCCAAGAGCCCCAGCGGTAAATTCCTCCTCAAACAGCGCTGCCCCGGCCCGGAGTACTCACCGCGCGCCCCCATCTCCGTGCCTCTCCTGGCCCCTCAGCGACCTGGGGCTCGGCGGGTGCCTGCGCCGCGGCCCCGCATCCCGGGAAGCTCGACGGGGCAGGGCCGCCCCGCCGGCCGAACGAGGGGGCCGCGGTCCCCGGGCGCCGAGCGGGGTCGGGACAGAGCGCGCAGAGCCCGGGGCCAGGGTCCGGAGGACGGCGCGGCGAGGCGACCGGCGGGGTTGGCCCGGGGACTGTTGGCCCGGGGACTGCGGCGGCGGCCGGGGGTCGGGGCTGTTATCAGCTGTGTGCGTGCGGGTGGGGGGTTGGGGGGAGGCTGTGTGCGTGAGGGGTCGCGGGAGGTGGGGACCGGAGGGGTCACAGCCGGGGCAGGACGCCTGGGTCGGGGGCTCGCCGGGGCGGAGCAGATGCATGCGCGGGTGTGGGGCGCGGGGCTGCCTGCCGTCCGACCCCCGGGTTCCGGGACGTGAGGTTGGGTGCGCGCCGGGGGACGGGCACAAGGCTGCCCTGGGAGAGCAGTGCCATTCTGATGGGAGCGCCTGGGGACCCCGACGTACCCCCCCCCCCCCCAGATGGGCCTGTCTGGGTTCTTGCAAGGCAGCCAGGAAGGTGCTGGCTGGACAAGTCAGTGGTCTCCTTCTCACGGTCCCAGTTCTAGAAATCGGTGTTGTTCGAGCTGAGAAATTTAGTGTGGGTGGTTCACAGAGCAAGACATTTGGTAGGGTCTTCTCCTCCCACTCTTCACTTTTGAGGACCCTGAAAACCCAGAAATTGAACTTTTAGGTCAGTGTGCCTGGCAAAATTCTTAAGAATCTTGAATAGAACGAACCCCTAGAGGGATGGCACCTGTGGTCTGCAGCTAAGCCTCTGTGGTTTCTAGGAAGCCCTAGGGCAGGGGGTGAACTCCAGGGAGCAAGAGTCCAAGGATAGCTGGCCTCTCAAACCTTGGAAAGTGGCCTGAGTGCCTGGACCTCAGTGCTCTAACCTGTCAAATGGGCCTCCTGAGAGCACTGTCCCAGCTCACGTTGCTTTCACAAATGGGAATCCTGACAAATACTGGTGGTTATTTGTATGTTCATTTACTCCCTCCCCAGTCCCATGATATTAGATATATTTTATTCATGCATTCAGTGCCTTCTTTGTGAAAGACAACTGACTACAAACTTTTCAGGACAGAAACATGCATTAAGACCTAACTTCTGCCTCGTGGAGTTTGTAGCTTACAGTAGATATAGGATGGGTATATGGAGCCATGTGTGAGGACCGGAGTGTGCAGAGCTGAGCTATGAGAGTTTGGAAGAGGGGGAGCTCACCTCTAGTTGGGGAATCAAGGAGGATTTGATGCAGGAGGTAAAAACAAGCTCAGCTTTGAAGGGCAGGCAGGATTTCATTGGGAAAAGATGTAAGGTGGATGGGGGAGGCCAATCCAGCCCTGTGTTGGTGGGTCAAGTGTTTTGGGGTGGAGGCTAAGGTGCTGCTTAGGGAGAGGTCAGGTTGTGAAGGGCCTTGAGGGCCACTCTGAAGAATTGGGACTTTGGAACGAGTGGGAAATATTCATTCATTCAAGAAATACACATATAAGAGTACCTACTCGGACTTCCCTAGTGGCGCAGGAGATAGAAATCCACCTGCCAGTGCTGGGGACACAGGTTCGAGCCCTGGTCCGGGCAGATTCCACATGCCATGGAGCCACCAAGCCCGTGTACCGCAACTGCTGAGGCCCCGCGCTGCAACTACTACTGAAGCCCTCACGACCTGGAGCCTGTGCGCCACAGCAAGAGAAGCCACTGCCGTGGGAAGCCCACACACCACAACAGAGTGGCCCCGGCTCGCTGCAACCAGAAAAAGCCGGGGCAGCAATGAAGACCCAGGGCAGCCAGAAAAAAAAGAATACTTACTGTTGACCGGGGACCTGGGGATAGAGCAGTGAATGAAACTGACAAGACTGCCTGCCCTGGTGGAGCTGACATCCTAGTGGAGAGATGGATGACAAACACAAAAATAAATAACAGACAGAGGCTCTCCAATGGCAAAAAGCTTTGAAGGCCCAGGAATGTTGGAGGAGGTGGCAATTTTGGATGAAGCAGGCAGAATGCCTACTGAGAAGGTGACAAAGTGAGGGAGATAGGGGGCGATCAAAGAGGGTTCAGACAGATGAATGGGAGGGGCAGGGAGGCAGAGGCTTGAGAGTAATAATGAGGCCCCAGCCTGCTCCCCTGCCCTCTGCTCACCCACGGCCTGCTCTCGGGGCCTCCCCGCAAACCTGGTGTGTCGAGTGTCAGTCTGCACCCCTCACTGTGCCCCCTCATCCCGGTTTCCCCCTCAGCACCCAGGCAGCCTCCCAGCCCCACATGGTCCTCGGAGCCCAGCCCTGGGACAAGATCCCAGCTGTGGGAGAAACACATGGACACTCACGTCCACACACGTCCGCACATGCGTTCTGTCCTGACTTCCCACACGCCTCAGCCTCTGCTCCCTGGGTCCCCAGACTCCTGCGTCACTGCCCTGACCTGACCATGGAGAGGGGGCCGGGGCGGATGGCGGGGAGTAGACACAGCCGGAGGAGAGGGAGGAGAGGAGGAGCCGTTCTGGCTGTGGGACCTGCCTCTCCCCTCATGGCAGCTTGGCAGAGGTTCCCCAGGCCCCTGCCTTCAAGAAAGGTATATGGGCCCTGGGCAATAGCCCCTAGGTGCTGGGGCCTGCTGGACAAGGGTGACTTTGGCTCATCCGCTGGGGCTTTTAGAAAGAGAGCTGCGATTGCAGCCCAGGAGAGAAGGCAGAGGAGACGGGAGAGATGGAACCTCCATCCAATCCCTAAGCCGTAGTAATCCTGCCAAGAGGGCAGAGGCTGATTTGGGGGCCAACTTCAACCCAGGTGCTGATGGATACCACCCAGCAGGGTCCATCTGTCCAGCCTGGACAGCAGGGGACCCTGAGGAGGAGGAAGCTGCCTGGGACTATCCCTCCAATGCCCAGTGCCCCCTGCCAGCGCCCCCTCCATTTGCCTCTTTGTATTTCTCGGGCATGGTGCTGGCCCAGTGCAGGGCCAGTGCAGAAGGTTGCCACACTGTCCCCTCCGGTTATCCCCATCTGGATGGCAGGGGTGGAGACAGGCTGGGGTCATCCTGACAGCCACCAGAGTAACTTTCCCGCTGAACAAACAGCCTTATTCGGGGTATTACCCTGAGCATGAGCCTGCAGTGGCTCCTGGTTCCTCAGAACTAAGACCCTCTGTGCTCTGCCACCCACCCACCTTTCCAGACTGTTCTCCCACTTCGCTCACTCCCCTGCCCGCATCACAGGAGCTCAGCTACATGATTTGCTGCCTCCTGCCCTTCCTCACTCTGTGCCCTCCACCTGGATCACCCTCGTCCTCCCACACTATCGATCCCTTTCTTCAAGCGTTACCTCCTCTAGGAAGCCTTCCCGGATGCCCCAGCAGGAAGCTGTCTCCCTGCTTTGGGCTGCCATTCTTTATGTACATCCTTTATGTCTCAGAGCTTCCCTGGTGATTCAGATGGTAAAGAATCTGCCTGCAGTGAGGGAGACCTGGGTTCGACCCCTCAGTCAGGAAGATCATCTGGAGAAGGGAATGGCAACCCACTCCCACATTCTTGCCTGGAGAATTCCATGGAGAGAGGAGCCTGGTGGGCTTCAGTCCATGGGGACGCAGAGTCAGACACAACTGAGTGACTAACACTTCTACTTTATGCCTCAAGCCTCCCCTCTTGGGGCCACCATGCACAGCTGTCAAGGTTGAGCACTGCACAACCCCAGGGGCCACCATTCATTTGGACCCTGATGAGAATGGTGTTCTCTGGAGCCATGCAGCACAGGTGCTCTGTTAATCGGAGGAGAGAGCAAAGGACAAAATATAGACAGGTCTTGTTCACCTTGGTGCCAGCAGGCACCTGGCATGTTGCCTGTCTGTGGTCCTCGCGCAAGTGTGGCTGGCATTGTGTGGTCTGTCCACTCCAGATTCCTCAACCAGAGAATGGGAGCCCTCAAGGGAGGAAATGAGCCCCTCGTCTTCTGCATGCTTGCTGGAGCCGTGCCTGGACAACCTAGCTCTGGGTTCGCCGGGGCTTGAGAGGCTTTCATCTACTTCCTGAGCACGGAGCCCCTGAGGCGAGGCCTGAAAAGGGACAGTCGTGACCAGAGGATGGCGGGGGTGGAGACAAGCTGGAGTTGTCCCAGCAGGCGGTTCAGATCGACTCTCCAAGAAGCAAATTTACAGCCCCCCTGAGCTAGTGCAGACCCCCAGGAAGCACGAAGTCCCAGCTGCCTGGAGTCGTGTTGGGGCGGAGAAGGGGGGGGCCTCCGGACCTCTCTGCCCTCCTCCTTTCCAATCAGTAGCTTCTCAGCCAGGCTTGGGAGCTCCGCCAGGGGCCCAGACCTTCTGTGCTGGGAAATGGGGTGGCTCAGACCTCGGAGCGTGTGATGGGGGAGGGCTTTCTGGCGCTTGGGGAACTGGGAAGGGAGTGAGGACTCAGAGAAGGGATTCCTGCTGGGAAGTCCTGTGCGAAGATCAGCTTGGAGAAACGGAGGCAATCTCTGCTTCCTTGGCCACAAGGTAGCCCCTAGGACCAGATATCTGGGTTCTGTTCTCAGCGAGCAGCTCTGCCACTTCAGAAGCCTAACAAGGCTTGTCTGGTAAACAAGGGAGCCCAGATTTGGTGACCTGGTGAGCTCTGCCACTTACCAGCACCCAGCCTGGACAGGTGACCTTATGTCCGAGCCTGAGGATGGCAGAAAAAACGATAGTAACTGCTTGCCAAGACTGTCGTGTGATTATGTAACGCCCAGCACGAGGTAATCAATACAAGCTACCTATTATCACTGCACCCTTGGCTTTACTACCCCTGCTATTTATCCTTGCTTTGTGGGCCTGGAGACCAGATCCCCAGCATACTCTTTAGCCTTCCTCCAGTGTCTACCACCGCTCCTTCTGGGGAGGTGGGCAGGGGTTTGACACCTTATCCCTGGTGTTGTAGCTGCCTCACTAAGCCACTCACTGGCAAAGGTCACGGGGACAGGGAGGTTTGGATGGAGGATGGGAGTCTCACTGGGTGGACACCTCCACTGCTCTTTGGAGAAAGTTGCCGCTGAAACACAACTGATTGGAGCTGGGGGTAGGTCAAGACGTAGACATCAAGGCAACGCTCACACTCAGTTTATTCAAAGCCTGGAGCCGACCAGGGATTTCTTGTCCCCTTAACATGGGTCTCAAGGACCTTGGACTGAATGAGGCCTTTGGGCCCACCCTGGACAGGCCCTGAAGCATCACCAGGCCGCCTTCCTTGGTTACTAGTCTCGACTCTCCCCCAGTACTTGAGCCCTTTTAAGAGGGCACGCAAAGCACCAAGACCTCCACCTCCAGATGCACCTCCCCAACTGAGGTTTCTGTGAAGTA